CTGAATTTGGTCATATTAACAGACTACAAATTGGGAAGAATTTTCCCATTTTAGTGGACAATTCCAATCTCTAGCCTAAGACAATCATCTTTTTGGATATAATATTATTTATGGAGATAGTGATAATTTTAGGTTTCAGACTCTTCTCATAAACTTATGGAATGAAAATTAATGAACTGAGTTAAAGAACTATGGGTAGCAGTGAAAGGTATTTAAGTTTGTCTCATTAATACGTTTTTCTCATTTGAAACTTACAAATGTCCACTTGTCCTTGAGTCAAATTGAGATTTGTAAACCTAATTTGAACCATACATTTTCTTAAACATCAAATCAACATGACTAAATCACTATTAAATGTAAAGTGATGTGATAATCCCCAAGTAAATATTTCCAAACCAGACACCATTGCATTTTTTCCAAATCTTAAACTCACTCTCCTTTGTATACTATTGTTTTTTTCTCTAAATTAAAGCTATCGTGATTTATTTGAAATCTTCAGAAAAAATATTACATTGGTAACACAGTAAGAATTTTATTTTCTGAAGGATAGTTTATTTAACTCTTGTTTATTATATCATCATTAAATTGCCTTTAGCAGTTTGGTAAGATAATTTAGAATTAATTTTTGTGAGTTCTTATAGCTATCCAATTTGCCGAATTCCTTTTGCCATCTAGACCATACCACTAGTTTTCCAACATTCCTTAAAATTTGTTTTTAATAAACTTGCTGTTTAAACCATGAAGAAGTCCTAGATTTTTCAGGATTCTCCCAGGTGTAGTAGAAAGGTCTGAGTTAGATAATGGGAAATGCAAATATGATGTCCTGACAGTTTCATGGCAGAGGTCATAAGTGAAGGATTTTGTCCAAATAGGTCATGTTCATTGTGTTGGCATCCCTATAAATAGTGCTTGCATTAATCATTCAATCAGGTGGAATAGGTAGAGGTCATTTCTTACTTTGCTCTGAGGACTATTGTAATTTTAGGCCATTATTTTCTCAGCAATAGCCAACATATGGTTGAATATCCTTTTTCTTTATTCAGAATATTAATAGGGTTAATTTAATCAAGTAGGAATTACATAAAAAGTTGTTTGATCTTTTTTGTACTGAAAAGTATAGTGAACCTGTCATCTGCATTATGAGTATTAGGCAGAAATGCACTTGTTGAAATCATAGCAGAAATTACATTTGGAGGATATAATTACTTGATTTTCTAGTGGTATGAAATACTTTTTTTTTAATTGTGCTTGTCTGTAACTGAAATGTCTAGAACTGTAACACTATAGGGACTATAGAGTTATATTAGCTCTCCTCAAGAGATTGAAGCACAATAATTTTCATGTAACAAACCATATCCAAGTGCTGCTAATCTGTCGTGCAAATAATGAAGCTATTTGGTTGCCTATCTAGCTATTTTGCAGATCACTTGTAATCCTTGAAACACAGCCTTGTTGCTCATTTGTATTAAAATTTGAGTATTGTGAGTTAATACTTTAGAACAAGATCTCTCACTCAGCTCTGTTAGCAAACTGTTTGGATCCTTTAGTTTTTATGTGTGTTACCAGTAGAATAAACTTTGAAGGGGCTATTTACAACCAATGACTATGGGGGGAAATTATATTGTCAGTATCATTTGACTTGAACATTTGTGGTGATGTGTAAGTTTTGTCTTTTAGTGTTTCTAAATTACATAAGCTATACATTCTCTTAAACAAGGGTGTTGGGTGTTTTGTTGTATTTTTTTTTCCTTTCCAGAAGCTTTTGTCAGCTTTGTCTGTTAAAGATGATACTTCATAGATTTTAGAAGTTGGGAAATTCATGAAGCTTTATTTTCTCGAGTTCATCACTTTTGGCTCCTGTGTATGTGATTTGTCATAAAAGATAGCAAGCCTTTCACTACTTCACTAAACGAATTTCAGAGTAAACACTGTGATTCTGCAGAGCAGATCCATAGGCTTTCAATATTTTCCTGTATACAGTGCCTATCACCTTGAAGGCACTTAAATATTAGAGGATGGGGATTTAAACATTGTTTTGATGTTTATTAAATAAGATTACAGAGTATTTGCTTTTTGTTGTCAGTGTATTAAAGAAATTTTTGCATTGATAAATGTTCTCTAGGAATGTGACTACATTCATCAGGTGTGAACTCTTGTAAATGAATTTTGTATCTTGAATCCACGTGTATATTAAGTGTATCATCGATATAAAAATAAACATTATTTGCTTAATGTTTTGGCTACTATTGTTAATCACTTCATAACTAAACTTCTTTCAGACTATATCTGAGATACTTTCAATTGCCTTGAAGTTGTAGATTCATGCTTGTTCTAATTTACAGATTTCTTCAGAGTCCCTGTTATTTGATTGGTTGTAGTTTTGCCATTTCCCTGCCCAGTCAGTACTGGGATGCTCGGAGGGGATAGTTGAAGATCTGGTGGGATCAGCTGATCCTAGGTTGAGTGCTAGATCTGAGACAGGAACTAAAGTTTCTTTAGTGTGGATACACTAGCTAGGCATTCATGAAGCCCTGAGCCTGACATAGTCTACTCAATTTGTTTCAGGACTTTGAAGAAGGCTCGCCTTTTTGCTTTGTTTTAACCTAATTCAGCTGTTCTAAGGAGGCAGGCCGCAGGTGGATGGTGATAAGCATATACCAGAGTGCGTGTTATTACAGGATAAGGTCCTGAAGCACCCTTTCAGCTGTCATGCATGTGCAATGGTGATGTAAGCCGGCCACAGGTCAGATGCACGTGTTAAAGCACTGATTGTGCTGAGCAAGGAGCCAGTTTGTTTTTAATGTGACACATACTTTATTAAATGCACATTACAGTTATTGTAATTTAATCATTTAAAATAATTAAAGCATTTATATATCAATTTTGTACATTAGAAATCAAAGGCAAAGAAAGGTACCGCACTTGTTCAAGATAATCCTGCTAGTGAGTAGAAGTACTAGAATCCTTTCTGCTTATCCTTTGTTTTTTTGGTCTGTTGTGGGGCTTGAACTCTAGGCTTGGGCACACTGTCCTTGTGCTCTTCAGTTCAAGGCTAGCGCTCTACCGTTTGAGCCACAGCACCACTTTCTGCTTATCCTTTTCTACTTAGAAAATGCCTCTTACTGAGCTGAGAAGTCCACCTTATTTACAAAATTTAGTCTTCCATTATATCATTTTACAAAACTAGATGATGTAAGTCTAAGGGCAAAGATCTTGACGTAATTCTTGATATATAGTGAAGGTTTCATAAATGGTATTGTAACTTATCAGCAAAGCCACATTTTGGAAGATGGAATATTGGAGTCTTAATTACAACACTAGCAGTCTGCAGGCTGCCTATTGTAACAAAGGCCTGCTGCCCCCAAATATACATAACACAGTTAGGAAACAGGCCATGTAAGAAATGAAAGGCGAGTGACGAATATGGCCTTAAGGCTTTATTGGGGGACAGACCTGCCAGGCTGCTCTAAGCAGGAAGGGAGGTAGCAGCCATGGACAGGTGTAGGCTGAATTTAAACAAAATTTTAGTGGATAGTCACATATGTCACCCGGTCTCCCTACTTCAGGATATTTTATATTACTTTTTTGTGGGCTGGTCTTGGGGCTTTGAGCTCAGGATCTGGGCCCTACCCTTGAGCTTTTGTGCTCAAGGATAATTGTAAGGTATGCCCTGGATGTAACTCAAACAACCTTTTGAACACATCATAGTGTGTGTTTTCCTTGAAGCAGTCTGCCCATAGGCAAATAGTACCATGTATTAGTACCAATATATTAGTACCAATAGTAGCCTTGGATAGCAGAATTGATGATCGTGCTGCTATTTCTTCACATTTTTAGTAGTTTCATTACTGTGAAAGACACGATCAAAATTGAAGGATTTACTCCTGTCAACCTGACAAATGACATTGCCAGTTTTTCAGTAAACTTGGGTAGCTTTTCCGAATTCTTCCCTGCTGTTGAGCGCCTGCCCTCTCAGGCACACCTCCCACTGCCATCTCCTCAGCCAGTAGTGGGTGAAGGCCTGGCATCTTCATTCCCCCCCCCTTTTTTTTAATGTACATGAAATCAAATCATTTTTCTGTTAGAGGGCCGAATTTTTGCCTGGGCTGTTTACTCCTGAAACTTAAGAAGTCTCCAGCAGTTAAAGTTGCCTCCGTAAGGTTGGTACCCATATAGTCTCAGGGGACTCTGAACTTTTCTTTGCCAGGTCAGACAAGGTAAAGTTTACAAATCCTGTGTCCCATAGAAAGAATGTCGCACAACCAAAGTCCTAGGCAGATCCAACGCAGTCTGTCACCAGAAAGCTGCTGCCGGTGGCTCTCGCCTCTAATCCTAGCTACTCAGGAGGCTGGGATCTGAGGATTGAGGTTCAAAGCCAGCCCAGGCAGGAAAGTCCGTGAAACTAAGGGACAGCGCCCAGGCCCAGAGTTCAAGTCCCGCGACTGACCAAAAAGAAAAAAAAGAGTTCAGAGGATCCGGGGCGCCCCCTGCGAAGGGGACAGGTGAAGGCTTGGGCAGCCCGGTCGCCGGGGTGAGCTTAGTCAGGCCGGCAGCCGAGAAGTCCCCGCCCTGAGCGAGGCCCACGCCCTGCAGCCGCTCCCGCCCAACTGCCGCCTGGAGTCCAGACAGCGCACTTGAGGGCGCATGCGCGCGGAGTCCCAGCCCTCCGCGCTGCCACTTCCGGCGCGCTGAGGAAAAGTGGTTCCGGGTCGCTGCTCGGCTCACCGGCCTGCGGCGGGGGCAGGTGACGCTGGCCGGCGCTGACTAGGGTCCCGGAGGCGGGGCTCTGCCGGCAGGTGCGCGGGCCGAGGTTCCGGGACGCCCAGAGCCCCCCCTCCCGCCCCCTTCTGGCGGCCTCGGTCTGTCCCCAAAGCGGCCTGGACGGGCTTAGCCGAGACCCAAGGCGGGGGGCGGTCCCGGGGTTCCGAAAGGCCCGGGTGGGGGCGGAAGAGGGCCGCCCTGGCCCGGGAGTCTGAAGCCTAGAGGTCTGCGGTTCCTTCGTGCGCGACCTCTGCCAGGCCAACCGTTCCGGGGCTCAGTGTCCCTGCTCTGCTGTCAAGCAGGAGAGATGCCGGCTACCTCCCGTCTTTGACTGTCCAAGTAAGGGCGTGGCTAGAGGGGGCCCGCAGGGGTGGGACCCCAACTGTACGGTGGCCGCACCCCTGGACGTTGGGCATCTGTCTGTTGCTCAACTTCGGCGACCTTTTTTTTCCCCCCTCCCTCACCAACTAGCTTAGTCCCAGTCGAGGCTCCACGACCAGCCAGCCCTGGGTCTGGCCAGGTAAACACTGTCAGAACCAACTGAGAAATCAACATCAGCCCTGCGGAACCTTAATCTCAGTCGACTTACTTGGTTTTCCAAGGAGAAGTGAATCGCTATAAGAGATTCCGTTCTTTGTGCCTGTGAAGGAAGCTCATAGATGACAAATTTCACAGGCCAGAGAGCGAGAAGGAGGGTATTCCACTGAGGGTTGTCCTAGTGACAAGTTTCCTTCCTCTACTTAATCTTCTTTCCTCTTCCTCCACTCTTCTCCCCTATCCCCACTCAACATTTTGATCTTGCCCTTAACATTTCATTTCCAACCGATTTTATCTTTGTCTTTACTCAGAACAGAATGCTTTGACCTCCAATAGTTTGCAGATGCTGAAGGTAACATTTTTGAAGAATTGTACAGACTTATCCGATGATCTGAAGTAGCAAGATGTCATCTGTGGACCTGAAAGTAAAACTTTGGTGATCTCCACAAAACATGTAAAGTTAGAATTGAAACCACAGTCTTAGTGTTTTGAACACCATTGATTATCTTGTTAAATATTTGCATAGGAATTTGAGATTTTAGGTAACTGTATCAAACTTAAAGGAAAAGAGCCACAAAGCATTCCCAGAAAAGTTTAAGGGTATATGATACCTGTAATATAAAATACTTTTTTCAAGATTGGGATATCCCCCCCCTCCAAGGAAACAGCTGATTGCAAACAGAATTATTCTGGAACATTAGAATGTTACACTTTTCCCTCTTGTTTGTTACATATGTTTGTGTCTTTGATTTAAAAAGACAGTTCTGTCCTGATTAAATTTATTGAGAGGAGTTAAAAGCATTAAGTCATAATTATTTGATTTTAACCTGGGAGGTTTTATTAAATGTGTCATATGCCATAGCCAACATGGGATAATAAAAAGAACACAAAGTTGAAATCTGTAAGTCAGAACATTCTGTGTCCAACTGCCAGCCCTGCCCCTTTGCCACAGCCTTTAGCAGTTTGCCTCATGTCTTTGGGACTAGATTTCCCTGTCTGTATATGCATCTGAAACACCTTACAACTTTTTAAGTCTTTAGCAATTGTGTCCTGTTATATGTATATTTAAGTTACAAAACTCACTCTTGAAACCTGAAGCTTAACATAACAAGAGTAGAATCTTTCCAATGTTTAACTTAGAGCTATCTTCTCATCTGATTTATAGATACTGAGTGCCATAAGCCTTTGGCCCATATATAAGTGGGAATGCAGCTTGCTTGGATGTGTGAAACTGTTTAGGCACCTTTGTCTGAATCCAGTCATTAAGATCTACTACCCTAGTTCCTTGGTGCAGAATAGCTACATATCGAACATGTTTGCAAAACTAAAGAAGAAAATTGCCGAAGAGACTGCTGTAGCCCAGAGGCCTGGAGGAGCTACTAGGATCCCACGCTCTGTCAGCAAGGAATCTGTAGCCTCTATGGGAGCTGACTCTGGAGATGACTTTGTAAGTATCTTCTTTTGATTTAAATATTTGATAGTATCAGTATCTTTGAAGGGCCATGCTTGGTGGCTCACACCTGTAATCCTAGCTACTCAGGAGGCTGAGATCTAAGGATCACAGTTCAAAGCTAACCCAGGTAGGAAAGTCTGTGAAATTCTTTTTTTTTTAATTGTGAAAATACCATACAAAGGGGTTACAATTACATGGGCAAGATAATGAGTACATTTCTTATCAAGCATTGTTGCCTACTCCTCTGTTTCCCCTTCCCATTCCTTCCCATTTCCCTCCCACCCCACCCCCCAGTCTGCGAAATTCTTAACTCCATTTAATGGCCATAAAACTGGAAATGACACTGTGGCTCAATGTGGTAGAACGCTAGACTTGAGCAGAAAAGCTCAGGGAAAGCTGAGCACCAGTTGCTCACACCTGTAATCCTACCTACTCAGGAGGCTGAGGTCTGAGGATTGTGGTTCAAAGCTAGCTGGAGCAGAAAAGTCTGTAAGACTCTTATCTCCAGTAAACTACTCAGTAAAAAACAGAAGTTGCACTGTGGCTCAGTGGTAGAGCGCTAGCCTCAAGCATAGAGAGGCTCAGGGACCGCACCCAGACCCTAAGTTCAAGCCCCATAATGGACAAAGCAAAAAAGCTCAGGTACAGTGCCCAGGTCCTGAGTTCAAGCTCCACAACTGACAAAAAAAAAAATAGTCCATAAGGGACTCCTCCTAATAAATGTTCTGAAATTGAATAATTATTTCTTACCATTGTAGTTTCTATCTGTACAAAACCGTGCAAATATGATTCTTTACTTTGAGGAGTCATTTTAATAGTGCTTGATTTGTTAATACTAGATAGACTTCATTGGCATATTTTTCTGTTCCACTTTCTGAGCACTGTTCTCACATACTGGTTTTTTCCTTCCATGGTGCAATGTTTACATTTCAATTTATTGAAATGCCTGGGCTTGTTCTACTTGCAGGTACATAGACTTTAAGTCATTGTTGCTTAACAAGGTCTGTGAATGGCGGTCTAGAGTTAATGAGTGCACTCTGTTATTAGGAAACTTGATGGAAAGGTGGCACTAATGACTTAGCATGTCACCTTATTTGTAAAGTACCTTTTGTGTTGGTAAGATTATAAAACACCACAGACTATGCTGTATTAGAGAAGTGTCCTGCTTGAGGATTAAATAATAATATGTCTTCGGCATATTATGGAATCCTTATAAGTCAGATGACTTTGTTGTTGGTGGTGGTCATGGGACTTGAACTGGGCCTGGGCACTGTCCCTCAGCTCTTCAGCTCAAGGTGAGCATTCTACCACTTGAGCCACAGTGCCACTTCTGGTTTTCTGGTAGTTTATTGGAGATAAGAGTCTCACAAACTTTCCTTCCCAAACTGGTTTTGAACCGCAGTCCTCAGATCTCAGCCCCCTGAGTAGCTAGGATTACAGGCGTGAACCACCAGCACCCAGCTCTTCAGATGACTTTTTAGAATATAAGGTTTTATTTATATATATGAATTGATAGATGGTAGATGTAAAAGACTGTATACATATATAATGTGTATGTAAAGTGTAAAGCAAGTTTAGTCCTCATCACTGAAAAACTAATATTAATCATATTGTATGTATAAAGCATAAGGTAAACCTATTGTATAACCAAAGAAATGGAATGTATCAACATTGCCAAAGCCACTAACATGTTGCTTCCCAATTCCCTGCCCTCTCTCCTCCAGGTAACCAAAATATTGTGTCTATCATTGCCTTAGGGTTTTGTTATTGTTGTTGTTGTTGTTGTTCTGTTGTTGTTTTTTGTTTTGTATATGTTTGTGCTTTTGGGTACACGCCAGCCAGTCCTGGGCTTGAACTTAGGGCCTGGGCACTGTCCCTAAGCTTCTTTTGCTCAAGGCTAGTACTCTACCACTTGAGCCACAGTGCCACTTCTGGCTTTTTTCTGTTTATGTGGTACTGAGGAATCGAACCCAGGGTTTCATGCATGCTAGGCAGGCACTCTACCACTAAGCCACATTCCCAGCCCCCAGCTAATCATTTTCTTAGTTTTTAAAACATGACAATTATGTATATACTCATAAATGACTTCTTATTTAACATTGGTTTAGTTTTGTGTGTGTGTGTGTGTGTGTGTACACACACACACACACACACACACACACACACACACACACACACACACACACACACACACACACACACACACACACACACACACACACACACACACACACACACACACACACAAACTCTAGTTCTGGAGCTTGAACTCAAGGCCTGAATGCTGTCCCTGAGTTTTTTTGCTCAAAAATAGTGATCTATTACTTAAGCCATAGCTTCATTTAGCAAAGTCCTAGGGACTTTCCTTCCCAGGCTAGCTTCAAACCATAATCTACAAATCTCAGCCTTCTAAGTAGCCAGGATTAATAGGCATGAGCCATCAGTGCCCAGATTTAATACTGCTTGCTTTGGAGCTTTATAAAAAGATATGCTAGGTGCCATTGTCACACCTATACTCTTAGCTACTCAAAGATCTTAGGATGGAAGTTCAGAGCCAACCCATTTAGCAAAGTCCATAAGACTTTTAATCACCAAAAAGCCGAAGTGGAACTTTAACTCAAGTGGTAGAATGCTAGCCTTGAAGCCTTGAGCAAAACAAGAAAACCTCAGAGATAGTGCCCTGAGCTCAAGTTCCAGTACTGGCATCAAAAAAAAAAAGAAAAGGATATACCATAGTATTCTTGGACTAATTTTTTAAAATACTCAACATGTTTCTAAAATGCTTCTGTGTTGCCCAAATGTGGCTTATTTATTTCCTTTTACTGCTTTATAGGATTCTAGAATTTGAAAGGCTACAGTTTATTTCTGTGTTGTCCCAGTGATAGATATTTGAGTTGTTTCATGATCAGATGAATTCTCCCTCTCCTTTCTTACTCTCTGAATTCTGGGTCATATTACATGCCAGAAGCTATTAGGTTATTGAGGTGGAGCAACATTACAAGATCTGGATTTTCATGGACTCCTTTATCTGTATGTGGACATTCTCTCACTGAGTGAAGAATATGGTCTTGACATTAAATTCTGTAACAGAAACATCCCTTTTCCCTCCATGTTGACATACTAAATGAACTTTGATCTAGAATATATTCCAGACCTAGAAAGTGACCCCAAATCTAAGTTCCTCCCAAGGGAAGACCTCACAAGACCTTTCTAAGGACAGCAGTCTCAGGCCTGCTCTGTTAATTTTTTTTTTTTCATAGTATATAAAGCATTTAGCATAGTACCTGGCTCTTCAGATAAGTATTTCATAATTTAGTTTCTTATGCTGTGACTGCACTTTTAGGGAGCACCTTTTTATTGTGCCACAGGGTGTGTGTGTATGTGTGTGTGTGTATGTGTGTGTGTTGGGGGGAGGTTGCCACAGGGTGTGTGTGTGTGTGTGTGTGTGTGTGTGTGTGTGTGTGTGTGTGTGTGTGTGTGTGTGTGTGTGTGTGTGTGTGTGTGTGTGTGTGTGTGTGTGTGTGTGTGTGTGTGTGTGTGTGTGTTGGGGGGAGGTTGTTTGTTTGCCAGTCCTGGGCTTGAATTGAGGGCCTGGGCACTTGAGCCACAATACCACTTCCGGCTTTTTCTATTTATGTGGTGCTGAGGAATCGAACCCAGGGTTTTATGCATGCTAGGCAAGCATTCTACCACTAAGCCACCTTCCCAGCCCACCACTGTTTTTATTTATTTATTTTATTATCTTTAAATAGTTGTACAAAGAACTTCCCATTCTACAAAACAGTATATGAGTACAAAGTGTCTGACAACACTGTCACCCATCTCTCCTATCCCATCCCCTCTCTCATTTTTTTTCTTTAATTGAGATTAGGTGATTACATAAATTTCACATATTTCACAGTATTGTGGAATAGTGATACTTAGTTAAAGTCACAAACACATCGTAACCTTCACAAAGCAAATTGTCATTATCATGATCTATACAGTTTGTGAATTCTACGAGCTTTTACAATACAAGTTATTTTTTCCACCACTGTTTTTAATACTTAGCACAGCGCTGAGATCTAGCATGTCTCACTCAAGTGGAATCACTTCGACTTAGCAAGCAGGAGGCCTGAGTTCAGACTTTAATACTGCCAAAAATTGTACAATTTTGGTTTGTTTTTGCAGATCTAACAAATATCAATTTCTTTCACCATCATCATAACTCTGTAATAAATCATATTTACTACCACAGTTTTCAAATAAGGATAATAGTTAGCTGGGGAGATGAGTAATTCCTTCAGATTCTTGCAGCTTATAAGCAGGAAAGCTGGGACTTGAACCCAGACCTTAGGACTCCAAAGGCTCTCTTCTCACATGTCCTTTATACTGACTCTTAGTAAGTTTTGGACCGGCAAGTGATTGAAGAGGTTAATAAATATTTAAAATGTGTCTAGAAGCATCCTGCATTTCTTGGCTCAGTTTTCAATGCTCAGTGCTCACTTCCATCTGCAAGCTAACAGTAGCTACTTAAGTATTTCTCACAGCACAACACTTTAATATTAATTCTGCTTCCTTCTTTGTGTGTATGTGTGTGTGATACGAGGTTATGAAATCAGGACCTTTGCTAGGTAGAAATGGGCATGATGGCTCACACCTGTAATCTTAGCTACTCATAAGGCTGAGATCTGAGGATCAAAGTTCAAAGCCAGTCAGGACAAGAAAGTTCATGAAACTCTTATCTGCAATTAACTACCAAAAAACAGAGAAGTGGAGCTGTGACTCAGGGGTTAGGGCACCAGCTTTAGGCAAAAATCTAAAAATGTTATGGCCTGGGAAGGTGGCTCAGTGATAGAGTGCTTGCCTTACATGCATGAGGCCCTGTGTTCAATTCCTCAGAATCACATAAGCAGAAAACACTGCAAGTCGTACTGTGGCTCAAGTAGTAGAGTGCTTACTTTGAGCTGAAGAGCTGAGGGACAGTGCCCAGGCCCAGGCCCCACGATTGAACAAAAAAAATAATGTCATTTTGTCTGTTGTAACTACTTTAACAAAATAAGAATTGATGAAAATATAAGAAAAAAATCTGTAATTTTAAATGGAAAATTATAATTAAATATTTTCCTTTTCTATATTTGAAAACTTCTATATTAAAAAGTAAAAAGAAGCCAGGAATAGTAGCTCACATCTGAAATTACAAATTCCAAGTCTCAGGAAGTTGAGGCAGGACATCTCTAAGCCAGGCTGAGTTATATAGCAAGACCCTAGCTGAGAAAAAGTAGTAAAAATACTTTATATTTTTATATATTTTATTTTTTATTTTTATTTATTTTTTTGCAGGTCCTGGGGCTTGAACTCAGGGCCTGGGCACTGTCCCTGAGCCTCTCTGTGCTCAAGGCTAGTACTCTACCACTTGAGTCACAGTGCCACTTCTGGCTTTTTCTGTTTATATGGTACAAGGGAATCAAACCCAGGGCTTCTTGCATGTTAAGCAAACTAAGTCACATTCCTGGCTCTAAAATGATTTTTTAAGTCACCTATTTCTTACCAATGTGTAGTGCTCATAAACTTCAACATAATCGGGATTTTGTTTTTTATAAAATAAATGTCTTGCTTATATATTGAGCTATGCTGGGCATCAGTGGCTCACACCTGTAATTCTAGCTACTTAGGAGGCTGAGATCTAAAAACCATTTGAAGCCAGCTCAGGTAAATAAGAGTTGGTGAGACTCTTATCTCCTGTTAACCACCAAAAAGCCAGCTGTAGATATGTGACTCAAGTGATAGAGCACTAGTGTTGAGCAAAAAAAGCTAGTGGACAGTGCCTAGACCCTGAATTCAAGCTCCAGTAGGAATACGATAGATAGATAGATAGATAGATAGATAGATAGATGAATGTTAGTGAATGCATGTTTTCTGTTAAAGTCTGTCAAGTCTATGGTATATTTTCAAGACTTAGATTAATATCCCTTTGTTTTACAGCGAGGATAATACAGCTTTGTCAACATGAATGTAGATTTATAGACATAAACAAACCTTAGATTCCTATGGAAAAACCTTTCACATTTTCCCAGGAGTTTAACTTGTAGAAAGGTAAAGTGAAGCCAAGCATGTGGCTCATCCCTGCCATTTCAGCTAGAAGATAGAGGCTTGTGGTTTGAGTCCACAAGCCAATAAAGACTATCTCAAGCTGGCGCTGGTGGCTCATGCCTGTAACCCTAGCTACTCAGGAGGCTCAAGTGGTCCCTTGAGCTTAAGAGCTGAGGGACAGTGCCCAGACCCAGAGTTCAAGCCCCGTGACAAAAAAAAAAAAAAAGACCATCTCAGTCTAACTTGGACATAGTACTGAGTCTTATGGACCCAGCTGTGTATGATGAATGCCAACTGAGACAAGCCCTAGGCAAAAAACATGAGACTCCACCTGAAAAATAACTGAAGCAAAAAGGAAATAAGGGTATGGCTGAAATGTTACAGTACCTGCTTAGCCAGCAAGAGCCTATGAATTCAATCCCCAGTTGCACCAAGAAAGACTTAAAAGAAAGGAAAATGTTGGGGCTGGGAATGTGGCTTAGTGGTAGAGTGCTTACCTACCATGCATGAAGCCATGGGTTCAGTTCCTCAGTACCACATAAACAGAAAAAAGCCAGAAGTGGTGCTGTGTCTCAAGTGGTAGAGTGCTAGCCTTGAGCAAAAAGAAACTCAGGAGCCGGGCGCTGGTGGCTCACGCCTGTAATCCTAGCTACTCAGGATGCTGAGATCTGAGAATCGCGGTTCAAAGCCAGCTCGGGCAGAAGAGACCGTGAGACTCCTATCTCCAATAAACCACCAGAAAACCGGAAGTGGCACTGTAGCTCAAGTGGTAGAGCGCTCGCCTTGAGCTGAAGAGCTGAGGGACAGCGCCCAGGCCCAGAGTTCAAGCCCCACGACCAACAAAAAAAAAAAAAAGAAAGAAACTCAGGGAACAGTGCCCAGGCCCAGAGTTCAAGTTCAGGACTGGCCAAAAAAAAAAAAGGAAAGTGTGGTATAGATACCCAATGGAATTCTATGCTTTCATCAGAATGATATGGCACTGTTTGTAAATGAAAAGGCTTGGAAAAAATTATATTAAGGTAGCCCCAAAGAAACATAGGTTGCATGTTTTCCCTCATTTTTAGTAATTAGAATGTACCTATACATCTACAAGTAAATGCAATAGATGGTAAAATGCAAAAAAAAAAGTATACTTGGACATGATAAATTAAACAGGACTCTAAGCATTCACACAGTGAGAGCAAAGGAAGTATTCTTAGGAGAGGATCACAAAGGCTCAATAGCTATGTGCAAATGATCATATAAAATATGTTTATTGAACTCTCAAGAAATGGAAACAAAGTTTTTTAAATTATTATTTTGCTTTTTGGTTTTCATTTTGTTTTGTTTTCTCCTTAGTCGCTGATTTTGATTTCTCTACCTTTTGATTTATATGTAAGCTTATCTGTTTTGGGGGAGGACAAGAGAGAGCACTGAAATGGTGGCACAAAGGGTGAATAAATGCAGCAGTGATACTCACTGGACTCTGTGTTGAAAATGAACTATACAATTTGTGGGGAAGGGGGTGTCAGGAGAGAAAAACTGGGAGAAAATGAGGGAAGATATGATGTTATTCAAAAAGAAAGATACTCATTATCTGACTTAGGTAACTACAACCCCTCTGTATATCATCTTTACAATATAAATAACTAACTAAATAACAAGGAAAGAAAGTAAGTAGGGAAGAAAGAGGGAGGAAGAGGAAAAAGATTTCTTTTTCATACTATATTCTTGGTATTAATATGATCACAGTGCATTTATTTTCTTTTTAATTTTTATTTTTTATTGTTATTATAAAGGTGATTACAGAGGTCTACTTGGAGTTACATAAGCCAGCTAATGAGTATCATGGTGCATTTATTTGCTGCCATTTGTTCCAAGAGTTTACATACAAAATGATTATGTTCAACATATCATCTCTCTTTAACATTATAGAAGGAGGCAATTTCACTTCCACTTTTTAGGAAGAGGATCTGGAGTCAGTTAGGAAGCCTTTCAATGATCACAATAAGTAACAGTGAAACCAACATGAAATATGACTCTCCCCTTTCTGTCTGGTGCTACAGTCTTACACTGGAAACCTATATGATCTTTCCTGTCTATATCAACAGGCTTCCGATGGAAGCAGCTCCAGAGAAGACCTTTCATCCCAGCTTTTGAGAAGAAATGAACAGATACGAAAATTAGAGGCCCGACTTTCTGGTATGTCTAAAAAGTCATAAATAGCAAACAGCAAGAAACTTACCTTGCCTACCTCTCACACCCTATCACATACCCTTATAGGATAACTTTATAGCTATTTTGACATATCATTTTGATCTTAGCCAGAAAGGAGCAGTTGGTAACCCCTTTGTTCCCCTTTTTTAAATCAGTGGTAAAACTGAACTTGAGTTTTTGTTTGTGTGTTTTTTTAATGTCTCTTTTTTTCTGCTCCTGAGGTTTCTGGCCATGAATATAAAAGGCATTAAAAGTATATATTAGTGGCCAGGCACCGGTGGCTCATGTCTGTAATTCTAACTATTCAGGAGGCTGGGATCTGAGGATCACAGTTTGAAGCCAGCCTGAGCAGAAAAGTGTCATGAGATTCTTATCTCCAATTAAGTATTCAAAAAACCAGCTTTGGCTCAAAGTCGTAGAGTGCTAGCCTTGAGCAAAATTGCTCAGAGACAGCACCCAGGCCCTGAGTTCAAGACCCACAACTGACAGAAAACAAAAGTAGATGTTAGGTAGGCACCCATGACTCAAACTTACAGTCCTCAGGAGGCTGAGATCATGGTTCAAGGTTAGCCTAGGCACAAATTCCTCAAGACTCTTACCTCTAATTAATCAGCCAAAGTTGGAACTGAAGGTGTTGCTCAAGTAGTAGAGTACCTTGAGAGAAAAAGTTAAGAGAGCTTGAGGCTCTTGAATTCAAATCCCAATATTAACACACACACACACAAACACACACACACACACACACACACACACACACACACACAAGAGTAGATAAAGAGATTAATCATGGTGGCTCATGACAGTAAATTTCAAAACTCAAGAGGACAAGGCAAGAGTGTCATGAGTTTGAGGCCATCTTGATCTACATAGGGAGTTCAAAGCCACTCTTGGCTTATATAACAAAACCCTTTCTCAAAAAAATAAATAAATGTAAAATAGATTTGACCATCTTCCACCATTAACATAGCTTACTTTTAGTTAGAGGTAGGAGGTAAGAGACAGGTAATATCTGTAAGAAACAGCTAACAGATACTGGGTTTACCAATTAGCCCAAGAGAAAAGCTGATGCCATGTTGTCACTTGCTCTAGCTTAATGTCACCTGTGCAAGTATTATTCCAGGGTCTTTGGGGCCACTTTTCAGTGTTATTCTAACTTCTGGTTCTGTAGAAGCTGTAATTCTCATTACATCTCTACATAGTTCCCATTATGTCCTTTGCCTGAATAACACATGTTCCTGATAGAGTTGTGAGTTCTTCTGTTTTCTACCAGGGATACATTTTTACTTCATCCTGTGAAGTGGTCCATGGATTCCATGTCTCTTTTTGTCCAGTGGCCGTATGCCCATTTTTATTGACATGAAACCAGTCAACCAAAATTGACCATATTATGCATTAAATATTTGTATACGTGTGGCTATCAAAGGTTCTTAGTTTGCAGCTATCAGCCAGTCTTTGTCCTCAGTATAGCCCTGTTCCCAGTTGTTACTGTCTTGTCACTCAACCATAAATGACATCAATAACAGAGGTAAAAAGTCTTCTTTATTTAATTTTTTGTACATTTTTTATTGTAAAAATGCTGTACAGAGGGGTTACAGTTACATGAGCAAGGCAATGAGTACATTTCCTATTGAGCATTGTTGCCTCTTCCTTTGTTTTCCCCCTACCATCCCTTCCCTCACACCTCCACAACTCCCCTCTCCCCCCCACCCCACCCCAGAAAAAAATCTTATATAATATTGGTAAGATAGTCATAAAGAAGTATGCATTTTCCTTGATGCAGAAAGAATAGTGGACCTTGACTTAAGAAAGAGAGAACAGATAAGAGAGCTGATATTTATTAGCCAGTTTAGCGCCCTGGATATTGTCCTACAGCTTAGTATAAATTACAGTAATAACAAGAGTAGCTACATTTTATTGAATACTGTTTGCCAGGTACTTAAGGTATGAAATACTTTAATATTTCCTTTGAAATAGATACAGAACTAATATTCAGGATTATTAAAGTCCCAGCTAAGGACTGACAGTTAAGATTTGAACTGCTGTCTCCTTTTTTATTGTTATATGGGAACTCAGTTTCTGTGTAGAAAGGTTTCTGTGTAGCTTGTCCAGAAAATTATGAACCTGCCCCCATAAAGGCAGTTCTGTGCTAAAGTGGCAACTGTTGCTCCAACCACTGTTAGTCAGTTGGGTAAGCTATAAGGAAGCTTTTATTGTGTCGTCTTCATCTGTCCTGGTGTAATTCCAAAAAGGTAAGGAAACATTGAGACTAAATAAATAAATAAATAAAACCTAAGTGTTGAACCTGGGCTGGTGGCTTATGCCTATAATCCTAGCTACTCAGAAGGCTGAGATTTGAGGATTGAAATTCAAAGTTGAACTTGGGCTGGTGGCTTATGCCTATAATCCTAGCTACTCAGGAGGCTGAGATTTGAGGGTTGAAATTCAAAACTAGGCCGGGGCCAGTGGCTCATGCCTGTAATCCTAACTACTCAAGAGGCTGAAATCTGAGGATCTCGGTTCAAAGCCAGCCCGGGCAGGAAAGTCTATGAGAAACTCTTACTTCCAATAAACCACTAGAAAACTGAAAATGGTGCTGTGGCTCAAGTGGTAGAGCACTCGCCTTGAGCTGAAGAGCGCAGGGACAGTGCCCAAGCCCAGAGTTCAAGCCCCACAACCGACCGAAAAACAAAACCAAAAAAACATTTAAAAAAGCCAGGCTGGGCAGAAAAATCTGAGTCTCTCAGATTTGGATGAGGCTTATCATCCATTAACCAGTAAAAAGTTATAAGTGGAAGAACTCTAAACCAAGAGAAAACCCCAGAACACCCCACTAAGTATTGAGATGATAATGTGTTTTTCATAGCAAGACATTTCTGATGACTACAGCTCTATAAAGGCTGAACAAATCTGCCTGTTTGTATTCACTGTTTATACCATGAATAGTTTGTACTATACCTGTTTGCCTATGTCATCCATTGTTACGGGAGGCTATCTGCCTAGCTTTCCTTAACAGACTGGTTTTCAAGTTGAGAAAATCATCATCATTTTCACTCATTATTTGTTTAATTAACTTCCTTTCCTGATGTTTGTCCATTCCTGGTATGTGCATCATCCTCCTCACCCAAGACTATGCTGAACAGGTCCGAAACTTACAGAAGATAAAAGAGAAGCTTGAAATTGCATTAGAAAAACACCAGGATTGTACGTATTTTTTTACTGCTTTTTTTCAATCTTTTCAGGCTTTATCTTTGAAATGAAACAGTAGTGTTTTGTTAAGTTTGCCCATTGTCAGAACTTGTACCTTTATGGTGTTCTTCATGAGACTGATTTATCATTTGTCTACTATTTCTTAAGTAGAAACTTGTACTTCTGTTGTTTTGTGGGAGGGGTTGTCATGTGTTTCATCGTGTCTCCATCCAGCCGAACCTCTTATTGGCTGCCATATATTTCAGTAAAATCTGATGCCTGGCCATTGGGTCTAGATAAGGAGATGCTGGTAGTTGTAGCTGCATTACTAACATGTGGAGTTCCCGGACAAAGCTCTACTGCCACTTCCACCCCCTTCTTCCAAGAATAGAACATCTAAGTCAGCTGTGTTCCTTTGGGTACTCTCCAAGAAACATGCTATTAAAATGCAAAGCTATAATTTTATTGATATACATTAAACAAACTTTTAAGAAAAATGAATTACAAACAACTTTGTTTTTCTTTGTTTTGATTTTTGATTTAGTTTTTAATTCTGATAACAGGGTAGTAACTGGCACTTAGCAACCACATTGGTGTTTTCTGGTAATCTATCTAAAATGTTTTGTCATTGTACCGCTTAAAATGTTACCTTTTGGCATCTTCCTACATATATACATTTTGCTATTATTGAAAACAAAAGCAAGGACCCTAACAAGCAAACCAAGTTTTGGAACATAGAGATGGAACAGGATTTTCCTAGTCGTTTAGTTCACTTAGATGCCCTTGGCCTTTTTGTTGGTGACATTTGCAAATCACATGGGCTGTTTGTCATGCTATTGCTAAAATATTTCCATATCTCAAATAGAGCCTCTTTGTTAACAGCATCCATGCGGAAATTTCAAGAGCAGAATGAGACATTCCAAGCCAACAGAGCCAAAATGGCAGAAGGACTGGCTTTGGCATTAGCCAGAAAGGACCAGGTATTTCATATGTGGCATTGCCCAAGACTGGTGAAAGGATTTTACTTAGTTCAATGATGTAGAAAATTATGTTATAAATAGAAAATACCTTCAACCTAGCAGGAAAGAAATGCTGTACAAAATAGGTTGGTTTTTCTTTTTTTGTTTTTGTTTTTGTCTGTCATGGGACTTGGCTGTGGGGCCTGGGTGCTGTCCCTGAGCTCTTTTGCTCAAGGCTAGTGCTTTACCATTTTGAGCCAAGTGCCACTGCCCACTTCAAGTTTTCTGGTACTTAATTGGAGATAAAAGTCTCACAAACTTTCTACCTGGGCTGGCTTTGAACTGCGATCCTCAGATCTCAACTTCCTGAGTTGCTAGGATTACAGGTGTGAACTACCAATGCCTAGCAATGCAAAAAATATTTTTGGTTATTTTTTGTTTTTGTTTTGCCAGTCCTGGAGCTTGAACTCCGGGCCTGGGTACTGTCCCTGAGCTGCTTTTGCCCAAGGCTAGCACTCTACCACTTGACACAGCCAACATCTGGCTTTTTTGAGTAGTTTATTGGAGATAAGAGCCTCTCCTCCCCTCCCCTCCCCTCTTCTTTTCTGCCTGGGTGCCACCAGCACCCGTCTGTGCAGTTTTTTGGTTTTTTTTTTTTTTGGGGGGGGGGGTCCGGTCATGGGGCCTGAACTCTGAGCCTGGGCGCTGTCCCTCAGGTCTTCAGCTCAAGGCTAGCGCTCTACCACTGAGCCACCTTCCCAGCCCCTTCTGTGCAGTTTTTTAATGTTTCTTTTGTTCTTATAAAGTCAGATTTGACTGTTGTAACCACTAAATGTGTCTAGAACATGAGTTACATTCTCTGCATCTGTGCAATGTTGTAAAATGGGAGGGAAATCTGTAATCTCCAGAGAGCCTGTACCTTGAACCTACATCCCCAGATACCTTCCAGTGATAGTGGAGAGCTTATCATGTGCTTAGCTCTTTTAACCTCTACCAAAAGTGTCCTTCAGCCCAGCTAACTAGACTGAGGGGAACTTGTGAATCTCCCCAGAACCATCCACTGAAAGATGCTGGATGCATGGCAGCAAGAATTGGAAATAGTGTTGTTATTGGCTGTTAATTACAAGTATGTTTAGCCTGAGACAACCAATGGCTAAATATTGATATGCATCAATATTTGTAATGATGCTGATTGTAACAATACTCCTGATTTTAATAAGATAGTCAATTACGTTTCATTTGAGAAAACATACAGGGCTGAGAAGGTAGCTTAGTGATAAAGTGCTTGACTAGCATGCATGAAGTCCTGAGTTCGATTCCTCAGTACCACATAAACAGAAAAGGCCAGAAGTGGCATTGTGGCTCAAGTGATAGAGTGGTAGCCTTGAGCAAAAGATCAGGGATAGTACCCAGACCTTGAGTTCAAGCCCCAGGACTGGCCAAAAAAAAGAAAAAGAAAACATATAGCCAGGCACTGGTAGCTCACTCCTGTAATCCTAATCAGGAGACTAAAATCTGAGGATTGCAGTTCAAAGCCAGCCCAGGCAGGAAAGTCTGTGAGACTCTTTTTTTTTGTCGGTCATGGGGCTTGTACTCTGGGCTTGGGCACTGTCCCTCAGATCTTCAGCTCAAGGCTAGGGCTCTACCCCTTGAGCCACATTACCACTTCTGGTTTTCTGGTGGTTTATTGAAGATAAGAGTCTCACGGACTTTCCTGCCTGGGCTGGCTTTGAACCACGATCCTCAGATCTCAGCCTCCTGAGTAGCTAGGATTACAGGTGTGAGCCACTGACACCCTGCTGTGAGACTCTTATCTCCAATTAACCACCAGAAAATTATTAGTGGTGCTGTGGCTCAAGTGGTAGAGCACTAGCCTTGAGCTGAAGAGCTCAGGGACAGTACCCAGGCTCAGAGTTCAAGACCCATGACTGACCAAAATAAATAAAAAATAATAAATAAATAAATTTGATCTTCTATAGATGGAATAGTTGGTTTATTTTAAATGTATATTTGTCGTCAAGTGTGGTGATTCATGGCCTGTAATCCTAGCTACTTAAGAAGCAGATATCAGGAGGATTGTGGGGTTTGTGTAGCCCTAGCTCAACTGACAAACCAGATGTGGTGGTACAATTCTTGTAACAATTTAGCAATTCAATAACATCTATACCTAAAATATAACTAAAGCAAAAAAGAAAGGAGGGTGTGGCTCAAGTGGTAGAGTACCTGCCTATCAAGTGCAAGTCCCATCGCCTAGCTAGTTCAAACTTGCTCCAAAAACTCCAAAAGCATAAACTGTCTATTTGTCAACTAGGACATTGCTAGTTAGAAAGAATGTCATTCACAGATAAATCTTAGATAAATATGGTATGAATATTTATAAGAAAATCTGATGGGCACCAGTGGCTCACACCATAATCCTAGCTACTCTAGCGACTGAAATGTAAGGATCATGGTTCAGGAAAGTACTTGAGGCTTTTATCTCCAGTTAATCACCAAAAAGCTTAGCTCCACTAGCCAAGTGATATCCTTGGGCAGAAAAGTTCAGGGACAGCACCTAGGCCCTGAGTTCAAACCACAGTACTGCTACTCCCCCTCCCCAAAAAGTAAAATAATCAAAGAAAATCTAAGGTTATACAATCAGAACATGTCTTTTGTACCATGTATTTTACCCCTACTTTACAGCTTGTGAATAAAGGGCATAGAATCCCTTTTCCTTTCCTCTCTACCAGAAAACAGAAAGCATATTGTACATGAATACAAGAGGGAAAATAATTAGTACTGCTGACAGTACTCTCTGACGCTCTCAGTAAATTAATTTCTGGATATCATTTGAAGAGTGACCCACCTAAGTGGCTCCAGCTGCTGTTCCCACAGAATACCATGCTCATGGGAGAGTACTGTGAATAAGCAGAAATAAGCTTTCTTTAGCTACCCTGCCTAGAAGTCTGTAGACTAAGCCCGTGTCAGAGCTTTATATAAAGTTCATTGTCTTTTCCACTTGGGACTTGCCTTCTGTGATATTAAACCAAAGTTATGTAGGTTGATTTGGGTTTGTTTTTTTTGCGTTTGGGCTTTTTTCATTGATGGCTATTGGGTATTTTTTGTTTTCTGGAAGCCATATTAGTACAGCTATTCTTCCCTAAAAACTGGACTTACTTAAATTTTGATTTGTTTTAGGAATGGTCAGAAAAGATGGATCAACTTGAAAAGGTTAGTTTATCTCTGTTTTTGTCTCATGTTAGTCTTATCTTGGGGGTTTGGAAATGTTCTCTCCAGTAACCACTGTACGGTACTGATCGCAGAACCACCTGTTGGAAGTAGGGCACTATGTGATTAGAACTGCCATAATGGCTCCTGGCCTGCTCTTTCTTTCTTTTTTTTTTTTTTTTTTGTCAGTAGTGGGGCCTGAACTCTGGGCTTGGGTGCTGTCCCTCAGCTCTTCAGCTCAAGGCTAGTACTCTACTACTTGAGTCCAGAGCGCCACTTCCGACTTTTTCTGCTTATGTGGGTGCTGAAGAATTGAATGCAGGGTCTCATGCATGCAAGGCAAGCACTCTACCACTGAGCCACATTCCCACCCCTCTTATTCTTTCTTGAAGGATATGCTGGATGTCTTTTTTTTTATTGTCAGTCATGGGGCTTGAACACAGGCCTGAGCACTGTCCCTCAGCAATTCAGCTCAAGAATAGCACTCTACCACTTGGGCCACAGCATCACGTCTGGTTTTCTGGTGGTTTATTGGAGACAACAGTTTCACGGTTTTTCCTGCCCAGGCTGGCTTTGAACTATGATCCTCAGATCTCAGCCTAGGATTACAGGCATGAGCCACTGATACCCAGCTTGTGCTGGATATCTTTTGCTTACTACTCTGGATGGTCTCCCCAGTTCCCTTTTTCTGTGGACCTAAAGGCTGATCACTACTACATCAACATGGCTTGGTATCCTCTGGCTTCTGATTGGGTGCAGCCAGCAGGGAACACTGGAAGAGTTCTGCATGGAAGAAGCATGCATGTGATCAGAATACTTAGTCCCCAACTGTGTCCACATAGGCTCCCTTCATGTTCTTTGGTTTCCTGGCCAAAAATCACAGTTTCAGTTGGAGCTTTGGTTCATGGGGTCCTTTTGACATGATTTTTCTCTGTCTGAATTTCTTGTAACCTCTTCGTCTGTTTGGCACTTTCCACCCAACAGTTACTAGCATAAAATCTCTCTTTTTTATTTTTGTTTATGTGGTACCAAGAAATTGAACCCCGGGCCTCAGCATGCTAGGCTAGCATTCTTACCAGTAAGCCACATTCCCAACCCAAAGTCTCTCTCCTTACCTGGCTCTCAATTTTGATAAAACCCTTTATTAACCCATCCTCAGGATACCAAATCTGAGTTTAGTATCTGTTTCTGTTGGGGCCCTGACTGGTCCTGTGGAAAATTGAGACTATTTCCTGATAAATCAAGAGGGACCAGAGCATTTCTCAGAGCTCAATGTTGAACAGATAAGAGACACTTTTGGATAGACACAGATGAGATGAGTATTCTAAGATCATTGTTCCAGTCTGGGCTATACAGCCAAATTCAAAGCCAGCTAGGGCAAAAAATAGTGAGATCACCCCTTCCATCTTAACCAATAGCTGGGCATGGTGAAGCATACCTATATCTCAGCAATGCAGAAAGCATAAATAGGAGATTTGTACAGTCCAGCCTAGACATTAACACAAGACTCTATCTAAAACTAAAAATTAAAAAGGAGCTACTGAGGAGGCTGAGATATGAAGATGGTAGTTCAAAGCCAGCCCAGGCAGGAAAGTCTGTGAGACTCTTACCTTTAGTTAAAAACTCAGAAAGCCAGTAGTAGAGCTGTGGTTCAAGTTGTAGAGCACTAACCTTGAGCAAAAAATGTCAGGAACAAGGGCTGGGAAGGTGGCTCAGTGGTAGAGCACTTGCCTTGCAAGCCTGAGGCCCTGGGTTCGATTCCTTAGCACTACATAAGCAAAAACAAAAAAGCCGGAAGTGGCGGAGGTAGAGTGCTAGCCTTGAGCTGAAGATCTGAGGGACAGCGCCCAGGCCTAGAGTTCAGGGCCCAAGACCGGACCAAAAAAACAAAATGTCAGGAACAGTGCTCAGGCCCTGAGTTCAAGCCTCAGAACTGACACACACTCACAAACATACACAAACCCTAAAGCAAGCCAGGCATTGGTGGCTCACTTACACAATCCTAGCACTGGGCAGTGAAGTTCAAAAGACCTTATCTCAAAAATAACCAGTAAAAGACCCAAGTGGTAGAGCATCTGCTAACAAGCAGGAGGCCCTGAATTCAAGCCCAAGTACCACCAGAAAAGAAAAAACAGAATATACTTGTGTAATACTATAATTGCCTAAGTTGTTATCTTCTTCCATATAGGAAAAAAGGTTTCTGACAGCTCAGTTGCAAGAAGTGAAGAACCAGAGTTTGAATCTTTTCCAAAAGAGGGATGAAATTGATGAACTAGAGGGGTTCCAGCAACAAGAACTAAGTAAACTAAGGCACATGGTATGCATTTTTATTTTAGAAGATAATAATTAATAACACTAAAAGGTAGTAAATGCTGACTATTCTTGATTTTTATTAATCATCATTCTTTTAATTACTGATATACACACCCCATAGGCTTCACTTTTCATCACATATTTATGAAAATGAAATACTTGTTTGAGCTATATTTCCTTTACCATTTGTTTGTTTTGAGTATTAGGGATATAAGCTCCCTTATAATTCCACAAAATGTTATGAAAGTTGGACTATTTTTAAAAGTATATTTATTAGTAGGAGCCTAACGAAACTTTATGTCTTTGTGTCAGCTTTTAAAAAAAGAAGAATGTCTAGAGAAAGTGGAACAAGAGTTGGAAGCACGAACCAGAGAACTTAATCGCACTCAGGAAGAGTTGGAGACTTCCAATCAGATGTCATCAGACTTAAGCAACAAGCTAGAAGAATTACAGAGATACTACTCTTCGCTGGAAGATCAGAGGTTCTTGCTTGGTCTGTGGGGCCCCTGGGCAGAGGTGTAGCTCTGGCTGTAGCCAGCCCACCTATTCCCATTGTTCATTGTAACCCTTTTTACTTTCCGCTCTGGCAGAGATGTCCACCTATCCATATCTGCCTTAGGCTCAGGTGTGCTGTCCCATCTCTCACCTTCACTGACTAACCGCAGGTCCATTTCAGTCCTACTAAGCAATCCAGTCTGGTTTTAGGTTTAAAGTTATTGAGTAATCCAAGGCAGATGAAGATTTCATGCTTAAATCAGGGTAGGCATTTTTTCATGGGGCTTCTTCTTCAGAGAAAGCCATGAAATCTTTTCCATTTATAAACCTTTTATGTAGCTAATAATGTTGTTTGCAGCTTAACATGTAAGGGACCATCTGCATTTTTCCTTTGGAAAGTGTTTCATAGGTGAGGTATCCAAATTTGTTCTTTGTCTGATTTCTTTCAATGAAGAGATCATGTGACAGCTTTACAAGCTGGAGCAGAAAATAAGATCATAGCCCTGGAACAAAAGGAACAAGAGCTTCAAGCAGTCATTCAGCAGCTTTCCATGGATTTGCAGAAGGTAAAAATAACGGACAAACAGTGGTACTGCCTACCTAGGATTCATGAATAAGTTGCTGAAATGCATATTCTCTTGTATTCTATATTGTACTACTGCTTTAGGCAGAGGGGAGCAGCTCCCTAGTGCCTAGGATTTTTTTTTTTTTTTGGGGTCCAGTCGTAGGCCTGAACTCTGGGTCTGGGTGCTGTCCCTCAGCTCTTCAGTTCAAGGCTAGTGCTCTACCACTTGAGCTACAGCACCACTTCTGGCTTTTCTTTTTTTCCTGCTTATGTGGTGCTGAGGAATCGAACCCAGGGCCTCATGCATGCAAGGCAAGCACTCTACCACTGAGCCACCTTCCCAACCCCATGCCCAGGATTTTTGAGGCTTGATGTTACATGCTTATAGTCCCAGCTACTAGAAAGGATGAGGCCAGAGGAGGAACATGGCAAGAACCTATCTACCAAGGAGAAGGAGAAGGAGAAGGAGGAAGACGACAACAGTATTGTCTTAATAGAATTTTCAAGGCACATTATGGATGTATTATTTTTATTTGGTTTAGAGATGAGATCTCACTAAATTGTCCAATTCACAAACCACCTACCCCAGTTTCCCAAGTAGCTGAAATAATAGACATAAACCATGGTACCTAATAAAAGCATGCCAGGTACCAGAGGCTCACGCCTGTAATTGGAGCTACATAGGGGACTGAAGCCCTGAGTTCAAACCCCAGGATTGACACTAAAGTAATCATAATAATAAGCATTTGTTCAACTCAGTTTTGTTTGTTTTTGTTTTGTTTGATTTTGTGCTGGTCCTGTGGCTTGAGCTTAAGGCCTACATGCTGTCCCTGAGCTAGCATTCTGCCACTTAAGCCATAGCTCCATTTTTGGCATTTTGGCATTTTATTGGAGTTGAGTCTCACAGACTTTCTTATCAGGGCTGGCTTTGAATGGCAGTTCTTAGATTTCAGCCTCCTGAGTAGCTCGGATTATAGGTATAAGCCCCTGACACCAATTCCACATGTATCTTAGGGGACTGGGAGTGTAGCCCAGTAATAGAGCACCTGTCTCGCATGTATGAGGCTCTTGGTTCAACCATAGCACCACTAACAAAAAGAAAAATCATTTACATCACCGGGTACCAGTGGCTCCTGTATGCAATCTTAGCTATTCACAAAGGTATAACCTAAAGGATTAAGGTTCAAAGTCAGCCTGAGCAGAAAAGTTCTTAAGACTTTACCTCCAGCCAGGCACTGGTGGCTCACACCTGTAATCCTAGCTACTCAGGAGATTGAAATCTGAGAATCAAGCTTCAAAACCAGTCCTGGGAGGAAAGTCTGTGAGACCTTTATCTCCAATTAGCTACCAGAAAATTGGAGGTAGTGCTATGGCTCAAAAGTAGTAGAGCACTCACCTTGAGCAAAAAGAGCTCGTGGACAGTGCCAGGCCCTGAGTTCAAGCCCTATGGCTGACGAAAGAAAGAAAGGAAGGAAGGAAGGAAAAAAGGAAAGAAAGGAAGAAAGAGAAAGAAAGAAAAGGAAGGAAGAAAGAAAGAAAGAGAAAGGAAGAAAGAAAAAGGAAGAAAGGAGAGAGACAGAGAAAGATTTTATCTCCAAAATTATCAGCAAAAAAAGAGTGTTGATTGAGTGGGTACAAGAGTGTTTGATTTTAGGTTTTATTTTTTTTTATGAATGTCCAAATCTGTTTCTCCCTGCCCTCCCAAATTTTGTGTGGCCAGTTGGAAGTATCTGGTTTGTGTTCATTTCTCCATTTCTGGAGCAGGGACTGAGACCCTGCTACATCTCCTATGCTCTGCATCCATGCCTCTTTTGGACATTAAAGGTTGATTGATGCAAAAAAAAAAAAAATTGGGGGGCTGGGAAGTTGGCTCAGTGGTAGAGCGCTTGCCTTGCATGCCTGAGGCCCTGGGTTTGATTCAAAAAGAAAAAAGCCAGAAGTGGTGCTGTGGCTCAAGTAGTAGAGCGCTAGCCTTGAGCTGAAGAGCTGAGGGACAGCGCCCAGGCCCAGAGTTCAGGCCCCACAACCGGACCCAAAAAAAAAAAAAAAAAGTGGGGGCTGGGAAGGTGGCTCAGTGGTAGAGTGCTTGCCTTGCGTGCATGAGGCCTTGGGTTCGATTCCTCAGCACCACATAAGCAAAAAGAAAAAATGCTGGAAGTGGTACTGTGGCTCAAGTGCGCTAGCCTTGAGCTGAAGAGCTGAGGGACAGCGCCCAGGCCCAGAGTTCAGGCCCCATGACCAGACCAAAAAAAAAAGTGCATAGTTCAAATGGTCAGCAGAGTGTCAGCTGAACAAGGAAGCACTTGAACCAAATATCATGAATGTGGAGTAATTTTTTGCTGTCTTTCTTTATATCATGTACATGTAATTTTTGTGAAATTTATGAAATGAGTAAGGTAAAAATTGAAATCAGGCAATGAATTCCCATTTACCCTCCATGTTAAAAAAGCATCTGTCACAGGGCATTGTTGGCTCATACCTCTAATCCTAGCTACTCAGGAGGCTGAGATCTGGTGATCACAGTTCAAAGCCAGTCCAAGCAGAAAGGTCCATGAGACTCTTTTTTTTTTTTTTGGGTCCGGTCGTGGGGCTTGAACTCTGGGCCTGGGTGCTGTCCCTCAGCTCTTCAGCTCAAGGCTAACGCTCTACCACTTGAGCCACAGCACCACTTCTGGCTTTTTTCTTTTTGCTTATGTAGTGCTGAGGAATCGAACCCAGGGCCTCAGGCATGCAAGGCAAGTGCTCTACCACTGAGCCACCTTCCCAGCCCCCCATGAGACTCTTATACTTGAGCCACAGCTCCACCTCTGGCTCTTTTGATAGTTTAGTGGAGACTTTCCTGCACAGGTTAACTTTGACCTGTGATCCTTATATGATAGCCTACTGAGTGTCTAGGACTACTGACATGAGCCACTGGCACACAGCTTATGTGAACAATTGTTAAGTACAGAATAGATTTATTTATAGCAATAGAATTTTTCTAATTTTGTTTTCTCTTAAGTTAATTTTACTAATTTAATATTTTTATGTAATTGACCGTATTATATTTTTGTCTACCAGGGGATGATTACAGGGCACCTTGCACATGCTAGGCAAAAGTTATTCTGCCCTTAAGCCTGTTAGATAGCAGGTCCTTATCTGCAGCAATTTGTCTTTTCGCTTCCCAATTTATGCTTTTTATAACCTGAATTGTTGTGCTTAACATAATATTTTTATGGAATTTGTCACACTTTTTTTTAACTTACATACATTTGCAATGAAGGGGAAAAGGACAAGTTAGAACTGAGAAGGCAAGCCAAGTGCTCTGAAAGGAAGACAGAATAGTGCTAGAGGAGGCTGAAAAGGTATGCAAGGCTAGTTTGTGTAAAAAGTAAAAGTGAATGCTGCAAATATTCATTAAAGAATAAACAAGAATAGCTGCAGTTACTCTGTGCTCATTATTCAATGTGTTCAGTAAAGGGACTTTTTTTGGTCGGTCATGGGGCTTGAACTCTGGGCCTGGGCACTGTCCCTCAGCTCTTCAGCTCAAGGCGAGCACTCTACCACTTGAGCCACAGCATCACTGCCAGTTTTCTGGTTTAATTGGAGATAAGAGTGTCATGGACTTTCCTGCGTGGGCTGGCTTTGAGTTGTGATCCTCAGATCTCAGCCTCCTGAGTAGCTAGGCGTGAGCCACCTGGGCCTGGCAGCACAGGGACTTAGTCCTCCCATATTGGTTTTCCTTTTGATATTTGATAAAACAAGCATCTGAAAGGCTAAATAATTTGTCCAAGATCACACAGCTGGGATAATACCTGAGACAGGAGTTAAGTTTTAATCTTTTAACTCAACATTCAGTCTTGAAGAGCCTGTGCTGGGACTGTGCCTATTAGGTTCAGACTTAGTAAGGACTAGGTAAAGAGGGTGACCATTAGGAAAGAGGCAGATTTGGCAACAAGGAGCATGGCTTAGCAACTTTGTATAGTATACCTTAAGGGCTAAGTGCTTAAAGTAAAGCAGACAGACCCAGAAGGTTCAATGTAGGATATGATCTGTAGGAAGACAATGGAACTTGGAAAGTAAGTAAAACTCACCCTAGCTTGGTATAACATAAATACTTGTGCTGCTTCTTACCCTGATGAGAATTTGTCTGGGTTACAAGCTGAATGAAAGTCTGTGGCTTGTGCTGAGCAACAGAAGCAAAGAGGGGATGTGAAGGAGAACAATGTGTGATATATTCTCTGCTTTTTGGGGGGAGGGGAAAGAGGGGGGTCAGTCGTGGGGCTTGAACTCTGGGCCTGGGTGCTGTCCCTCAGCTCTTCAGCTCAAGGCGAGCACTCTGTCTCTTGAGCCACAGCACCACTTCCAGTTTTCTGGTGGTTAATGGGAGATAAGAGTCTCACAGCCTTTCCTTCCCCGGGCTGGCTTTGAACCTTGATCCTCAGATCTCAGCCCCCTGAGTAGCTAGGATTACAGACATGAGCCACTGACACCCAGCTTATATTCTCTGCTTTCTGTAGGTCACTGCTGAAACTCAAGAAAAAGAAAAATTCATTGCACATTTGCAAAAGAAGGTCACATCTTTGGAGAAGAGACTGGAACAGAATTTATCTGGAGAGGAACATGCACAAGAACTCTTAAGAGAGGTAATACTAATTTCCTTATTCCAGCCACTGTTACATGGGCAAGCATGTAAGGTATACAACGTGTGTGTGTGTGGCACATGCATGCACGTGCATGCTTGAACTCAGGGCATAATGCTCTTGCTTAGCGCTTTTTTTTTTTGGTCGTGGAACTTGAACTCTGGACCTGGGCACTGGTGTCTCTCAGCTCTTCAGCTCAAAGCTAGTGCTCTACCACTTTGAACCACAGCGCCCCTTCCAGTTTTCTGGTGGTTAATTGGAGATGAGTCTCAGTGGAGTTTCCCCCCCAGGCCGGCTTTGAACTGTGATCTTCAGATCTCAGCCTCCTGCGTAGCTAGGATTATAGGCATGAGCCGCCAGCATCCTGTTCTTGCTTTGCTTTTTTGTTCAAGGTTGGTCTTCTGCCACTTAGGCCACACCTTCACTTCCCATAGACAGGAATGGAACAGTAAATTTCATCTAGGTATTTCATCAATCCCAAATCTCCAAGCAAGAATCTCAGCAGATAACTGCATGAGAGTGTCTGACTTTTTGTAACTCTGTTTTAGCTTTGAACTCCTGGGTCAAAGCAGTTCTCCCACCTTAGCCTCCCAAGTACTCAGACTACCCATTGTACCTGGCTCATCCAATTTCCCACCTGTGTCAAAACAGCCTTGCGTCTTTGTGTATTCTCAGGGAGGAGAAGAGCTTTGTTCAGAGATACCTATAAACAGATTGCATACTTCTTATGCCACTTTTATGTCTTATTGCATCACTTCCTTCCCCACCCTGTCACACTCGATCTACTATGTGGGGAAAAATAGTCCCTTAGGTATTGACAAGAATTACCTTGGCCACATACTCTCTTCAACTGAGGAGGCTGTTAAACTTAATGGTATCTTTCCCTTTGGTATGCATGAACTTTGCATCAGGCCTGAGCTCGTGCTCTGCATGTATTCTGTCTTTCCTTGGTAGTCCAGTGGCTGGTCTCATCGTGACAAAAGTGACAATGATGTGGCTCACTGTAGACTAGACTTACTTTGTCTCTAGTTCCAGCTGAACATCACCATCTCTGCTGCTACTACTTGTGCCAAGCCTCTGAGCAGTGCTGGCCTAGTGTACTCTAGAAGTTTCTTTTTTTTTTTTTTTCCTTTTTGCTTATGTGGTGCTGAGAAATCAAACACAGGGCCTCATGCATTCAAGGCAAGCGCTCTACCACTGAGCCACCTTCCCAGCCTTATTCTAGAAGTTTCTAAACTGGCCCACCTCACATCTCCCTCAGCCCTGGCAGTCCTCCACACTGTCACATTGATGTTCCTGAGCTGCACTTCTACCACATCACTACCTAAACATCTTCCACAGCACACAAAGGTGGACTCTAGAGTGGAGTAATTCTAGATCAGATGCCTATGTTTGTGTCTTACGTCTTCTTACAAGCTGTTTCTTAGCACAGTAACTTAATGTCTTTGTGTTTGTTTCACCTCTATAAATTCAACTTAGTATTGGCACCAGACTCAGAATTGTCTCAATTGTTGTTGGTATTAAGTGAATTAAAATATATGATGTGCTTAGATTGGAACATAGTAAGATCTCAGTACATGTCAGCTACTAATATTACAACGATTATTGTACCAGTTGTGACTATTATCAGGTTTGTTTGTTGGTTTGTGCTGGCACTAGGGCTTAAACTCAGGCCTCATGCTCTTGCTTGAGTGTTCTACCACTTGAGCCATTCTTCCACTTCAAGCTTTGTGCTAGTCACTTGGAGACAAGAATCTCAAGGACTTTTTTTGCCCAGTTGGACTTAGATCCACAATCACCGTCTTTCATCCTCCTGAATAGCTAGAATTTTAGGCAGAGCACCAGTGGCTAACCATTATCAAGTTAAGAAACCACTTGGGAGTTTATTGGGAGTTTGTTGTTTGAATCATATATCTGACGCTACCCAGAGATATTCTGATTTCTTTAGATCTGGATGGAGTAAGGCCTCCCTCAAGTTTAACCAACCACTCTAGATTGCAAGACTTGCCAACATTTGGGAGACCTCATATGAAAAACATAGCCTTACAGAATAAAGTTCAAATTCTTTATTTTCTTCCTTTTTTCTTTTGGCATCATTAATGAGCCTACCATTATCTGGCCTTTTTGCCCAACTTGATATCTCTTGTCTTGACCTAAGCCCATTATCACTTTGGCTTCTGAGGAGTTTAGAGTTCCCTGAATGTGCAAGCTCTCGACATCCCCAGTGATCACCCTCTGCTCAGGATGCTCCCCCATCCTCTGGCTGCCTGTGATGTGAGAAATACCACTCACCCTCTAGCCCTCTCTCTACTTGGTACACTCTCTCTGCAGGCATTTCCTAATGCTAATGTTTAAATGTTTTTGCTAGCTATTTGTTCCAGCCTTGGGGACCAAGAACTATGTCAAATTTATTTGTATACTTTAAGATATATGAACTCTGGGATTTGAGGCATGGTTCACTTAGTAGAGAGCTACCCTATTAGCAAAAGCATTGGGACTGAGTTCAAGCCCTGGTCTTGGACCAAAAAAAAATTTTTAAGTGAATTTCATCTTAATTTGCTGGTGGTTACACAAGAAGTGTAACCTGCCAGGCATCGGTGGCTCATGGCGTAATCATAGCTACTCAGGAGGCTGAGATCTGAGTATTACAGTTAAAAGCCAGCTTGGGCAGGAAAATCCGTGAAACTGTTATCTTCAATCAACTACCATAAAGCTGGAAATGGTGCTGTGGCTCAAAGTGGTAGAGCACTAAGCTTGAGCAGAAACAGCTTAGGGTCAATACCTACGCCCTGAGTTCAAGCCTCTGGACTGGCACTAAAAGAAAAGAAAAAAAAAAAAGAGAAAGAAATGTAACCCTATGCTCAAACAGATTTTTATATCTTATTATAACATGTAGTATTATGTATTCTATATAGTATTGTGTGATGTGTTACATGCATGTTTAAGCATATATATTTAATATGTAGCATATAGCATGGTTTGTGTTTAAGCAGTATATGTTATTTATAGCTGGTTTGTATTTTATGTAATTAAAATTATATAATTACTGTTAAAAAAAATATAACCCTTGGGGGAGGTGTATGTGTATATATTTACATAGCCTGTATCTAGCACAACTCAGCATGTTGCAGGTATCAACCAATAACTTTTCAGTGGAGAGATTATTATTTTCTTTTACTTACCTTTCCTCTTACAGAAAACAGTTGCTGAGCAGAACTTGGAAGACATCAGACAGCAGCTCTTGGCAGCCAGAAGTAGCCAGGCTGAGACCATTGACATCCTGGAGACTCGGGTACTGACCTTACTCCCCTGTTTTCTTATTTGTGTGGTAACAGAGTTTAATTATTTTCTTCACTGTATCCACTGTTGTTCCACACAAAGTTGTTCTCTTGTTTTCTTCCTTTTAATATTGCCTCACTCCTATAAGGAAACCATTTGAATGTGGTCAATGTAAATGTTTTCATTGTGGAGTTAGCTTGAAATGGATAACATTGTTTTGTATGTATGTAGTTTTAGTTTATGATAAAGATATGGCTATGGATGTGTATTCTTTGTCACTTTGAACTGCTCTATTTTCCATCTGTATCTGCTTCGTGGTATCTGTTCTCCTTTGTAGTTACTACTACTACCTTCTTCTTCCTGCACCACAGATCACATTGCAGTGACTGACCTATCTAGTCTCTGTAAGGTGACTGAGTAAGACAAGATTGTTACCAGAAGGGCTGCATCTGGCTCTCTACCGCCATCATATGTGAGAGTTCCCAAATCTTCTTCCCAGTGTTGAACTTGTAGATTTTGCCCCATTAGTGAGTGTGAAGTGATACTTTCACTGCTATGGTTGTTTCTATTAGTCTTTTGGGTTTTTCTCCTCCCTTTTTAAGAAAATTTTACTTTATTTTTTGCCAGTCCTGAACTTTGAACTCTGGGCCTAGTCACTGATTCTGAACTTTTGTGCTCATTAGTAGCACTCTACCTCTTGAACCACAGCTCCTCTCTTTTTTTTTTCTTTCACTTTTTGTTGATTTGTTTTGTAGTTTATTAGAGATAAAGAGTCTCGAGGATTTTCCTGCCTGGAATGGCTTCAAACTGCTATCCTCAGATCTCAATCTCCTGAGGAGCTAGGATTACAGGCATGAGCCACTGGTGCCCAGCTGGGTTTTTCCTTTGAATTATCCACTAAAATCCTGTTTTTCATTGGAGTTTTCAGTTTTTTCTTAGTTTGTAGGGTTTGATTGTATATCGTAGTTCCTAATCATTTGTTTCAGTCTAAAGCAATCTGTTGACTATCCATGTATCCCTTGTTCAACAGATATTTCTTTTTTTTTTTTTTTTTTTGGGGGGGTCCAGTCATAGGGCCTGAACTCTGGGCCTGGGTGCTGTCCCTCAGCTCTTCAGCTCAAGGCTAGCGCTCTACCACTTGAGTCACAGCGTCACTTCAGGCTTTTTTCTTTTTGCTTATGTGGTGCTGAGGAATCGAACCCAGGGCCTCAGGCATGCAAGGCAAGCGCTCTTCCACTGAGCCACCTTCCCAGCCCCTCAACAGATATTTCTATGTTTTGTCATAATCAGATTCCTTAACTTGTTTTTACTGTGTTACTTAAAGTTCCATTTTAAAAATCCATTCTTTGGCTGGGAATGTGGCTTAATGTAGAGTGCTTAGCTAGCATGCATAAAGCCCTGGTTCAGTTCCTCAGTACCACATAAATAGAAAAAGCTAGAAGTGACGCTGTGGCTCAAGTGGTACAGTGCTAGCTTGAGCAAAAGAAGCTCAGGGATGGCGCCCAAGCCGAGTTTAAGCCCCAGGACTGGCAAAAAAAAAAAAAAAAAAAGATGAGCCAGGCACTGGTGGCTCACACCTGTAATCCTAGCTACTCAGGAGGCTGAGATCTGAGGATCGAGGTTCAAAGCCAGCCCAGGCAGGAGAGACCATGAGACTCCTATCTCCAATAAACCACCAGAAAACCGGAAGTGGCGCTGTAGCTCAAGTGGTAGAGCGCTCGCCTTGAGCTGAAGAGCTGAGGGACAGCGCCCAGGCCCAGAGTTCAAGCCCCACGACCAACCAAAAAAAAAAGATGAATGGACTTATAATTATTTATCAAAGATGCAACACCACACTTGTAAAATTCACTCGATAGTTTTTGTTTCATTTTCTTTTTTGATATGGGTAGTGATGGTAATAAAATAATAATAATAGGGGCTGGGAAGGTGGCTCAGTGGTAGAACGTTTGCTTTGCATGCATAAGGTCCTGGGTTCGATTCCTTAGCACCACATAAGCAAAAAGAAAAAAGTCGAAAGTGGCTCAAGTGGAAGAGCGCTAGCCTTGAGCTGAAGAGCTGAGGGACAGCGCCCAGGCCCAGAGTTCAGGCCCCACGAATGGACCCCACCCCCAAAAAAAAAATAATAATGGCAGTGGTAGTGTTGTGTTGCTGGAGAAGTAACCCTACCACTGAGCAACAGTATACAAATTTTTTGTGTGAAAATTGCATATTTTAATTACCCTCGGATATGTGCCGAGGAATAGAATGAGTCAGTGGTAACCCTCCATATAACCTTTCAATGATATGAACTGTCTTTTTTTTTTTTTTTTTTTGTCAGTCGTGGGGCTTGAACTGTGGGCCTGGGCACTGTCCCTCAGCTCTTCAGCTCAAGGCTAGTGCTCTACCACTTGAGCCATAGTACCACTTCCGGTTTTCTGAGTGGTTTATTGGAGATAAGAGTTTCGGTCTTTCCTGCCCAGGCTGGCTTTGAACGGCTATCCTCAGATCTCAGCATCCTGAGTAGCTAGGATTACAGGCATGAGCCACCAGCGCCCGGTAATATGAACTGTCTTGAGTTCTGCCTCTACATTGAAGCTTGCACATAGATATTCTGAACCCAGTAGTTTCAAAGGCAGGGCTTTAGTAATGGCTATACCATTACTAAAATTTATCATCATAGACTAATAACATTATGGTTCTCCTGTGTGGAAATAGTACCTCTGTACTTGTAAATGGTAAATGCTTACTCTCCCCTCACCCCCTTATCCCTCCCCCCTCCTGGGCCTGAGCACTGTTCCTGAGCTTCTTTTGCTCAAGGCTAGCACGCTATCACTTGAGCCATAGTGCCACTTCCAAGTTTTTCTGCTTATGTGGTACTGAGGAATCAAACCCAAAACTTCATGCATGCTAGGCAAGCACTCTACCATTTAAGCCACATTCTCAGCCCCAAAACTTTATTTTTCAGGCACAACTATATCTCTATAGTTATGACTATATATATATTGATATGGAGGGTTTTTTTTTTTTTTGCTTTGTTTTGTTTTTCTTAGTTGTGGGGCTTGAGTGCCTGGGTGCTGTCCCTGAGCCTCTTTGTGCTCAAGGCTAGCACTCTATCACTTAAACTACAGAACTGCTTACGGTTTTTGAGTGGTTAATTGGAGGTAGGAGTCCCTTGGGGACTTTTTTTTTTTTTTTTGTCGGTCATGGGGCTTGAACTCTGGGCCTGGGTGCTGTCCCTCAGCTCTTCAGCTCAAGGTGAGCGCTCTACCACTTGAGCTACAGCGCCACTTCCGGTTTTCTGGGGTTTATTGGAGATAGGAGTCTCACGGTCTTTCTTGCCCGGGCTGGCTTTGAACCTCGATCCTCAGATCTCAGCCTCCTGAGTAGCTAGGATTACAGGCGTGAGCCACCAGCGCCCGGCCCTTGGGGACTTTTCTGCCCCTGCTGGCTTGGAACCATAATCCTCAAATCTCAGTATTCTGAGTAGCTACCATTACAGTTGTGAGTCACCCTCACCCCACTCCATGAAACTTTTATCTCTAATTAACCATCAGAAAAGCTGGAAATGGAGTTGTGGTTCAGCGGTAGAGCACTAGCCTTGAGTAAAAAAAAGAGCTCAGGGTGTCCAGGCCCTGATTTCAAGCCCTAGGATCAGCACAAAAATAAATAAATATCCTCAGCAATCTGTAGGATTAAAAAGGAATATATGTATATGTATTTGTGTATACATATATGTATATACTCTATATGTATGTATATATGTATATACATGTTATATGTATATACATATATATACTATATGTATATATACTATATGCATGTCTGTATATAGTCTTTTCCTATGGGATATATAGCTCCGTGGTAGAGTACTTGCCAGGCATCTAGCATGCATGAGGCCCTGAGTGTCATCCACAGAACTGAAGAGAAAGATATCTTCTTCTATGTGTGCTTAATGGGGTTTTTTGTTTATTTTGTAATGGTCCACAGCTTGAACTCAGAGCCTGGACACTGTCCCTGAGCTTTTCTGCTCAAGGCTAGTGTGCCACCACTTGAGTCAAAGCTCCACCTCCAGCCTTTTGGTGATTAATTGGCAATAAGAGTCTCATGGACTTTTCTGCCTAGGCTGATCTTAGCCTCCTGAGTAGCTAGGATTACAGGCATGAGCCACCAGCACCTGGCATTGATTACATTTTAATAATAAGGCACCTCATTGTCTAGCTACTCAGTAAACAAGAGGACTTTAAGATCAATTGGGAAAACAGCTTTTGTCAAATCTGCTGCCACCTTAGTGTGTCCAGTCCCACTCATTGTGGACATTGGTTCCCTCTTGTGCCAGGCTGTATCTGTCTTGCTGCAGTCAGACTTGGTCAATATTTGTGGACTGAGTCAAAACTAAATTCATATTGTGAGGAGTGATCGCACCTCTGGGAATCTGTAATTCACGGGAATGGTTCAAGCTGGTCAAAAGTTTTTATGTGTGTATGCTAACTGCTACATCATTTTAGATAGAAAACCAGATGGGTGCTGGGAGCTCACGCCTGTAATCCTAGTTATTCAGGAGGCTGAGATCTGAGGACCATGGTTCAAAGCTAGCCCACACAAGAAAGTCTGAGAATCTCCAAAAATGCTAGAGGTGGTGCTATGGCTCAAGTAGTGGGTGGAGTTCTATCCTTGAGCAAAAGGAGCTCCAGGGCAGGGCCCAGGCCCAGAGTTCAAGCCCTAGGACTGGCAAAAAAAAAAAAAAAAGCTAAAGTGCCATCACAATAGGCAGCTGGGTCAGAAAGTATGAAGTCCACTTGAGCAATAATTTAAGGTCCTACTATTACATGAAAGCACAAGGAAATTTATGAGTTGGGAGGAAGCACATTTTATATTGTTTGATTGAAATTATGCACAAAATTATTAAAAAGTGTCCTGAGGGCTATAAGAATAGACATTAGAGGGCTGGGAAGGTAGCTCAGTAGTAGAGTGCTTGCCTTCATGCATGAGGCACTGGGTTTGATTCTTCAGCACCACATAAGCAGAAAAAGCTGGAAGTGGCATTGTAGCTCAAGTGGTAATGTGCTACCCTTGAGCTGAAGAGCTGAGAGACAGTGCCCAGGCCCAGAATTCAGGCCCCATGACCCAACAACAACAACAACAAAAATAGACATTAGAGGGCTGGGAAGGTGGCTCAGTGGTAGAGCACTTGCCTTGCATGCCTGAGGCCCTGGGTTCGATTCCTCAGCACCACATAAGCAAAAAGAAAAAAGCCAGAAGTGGTGCTGTGGCTCAAGTGGTAGAGCGCTAGACTTGAGCTGAAGAGCTGAGGGACAGCGCCCAGGCCCAGAGTTCAGGTCCCACGACCGGACCCCCCCAAAAAATAGACATTAGAATATTAATGTTTTATAGTGATAGCCTTATGAATATATTTTTGCTGCTACATTTTTCTGGAATGTACTGTTTTATGTTAATTCTTTGATTTGTTTTTCTTTTTTTGGGTGCTAGGGATTGCATCTAGGTTCTAGCATGTTCTAAGCACATGTGCTACCACTGAGCAGCAACAGCTGAACAGCCCTGGTCTAGATTTTAAAGCTTTGCAGTAAGGCCACTCCACTTCTTGTGAACAGAAAGAATGCTACTATTTCCCCAGGTGAAGGAACTGGAGCAGAGCCTGCAGGCCTCGGAGGAGCAGCTCCAGCAGAACAGGGATGTCGTGGCTGTGCAGGAAGCACAGATACAGGAGCTCGTGAGTGCTTCCTCTATACCAGGTCCTGAGCATTCCCTCTGTACCTCTGATGATGCCCCAGATGCATTCCTAGCATCTACAGCAGTTTCTGCACCCAACCTCAGTGCAGTTGTGCTGGATGGGAGTAAGGAGGCAGAGTAGGTTAAAGGAATGAGGACTGCTAGTGGTATCTGGGTTCACTACAGACCTGTACTGTTAGTTCCAACCAATAGCCCAGCCTTATGCCAGTGGCTCACGCCTGTAATCCTAGCTACTCAGGAGGCTGAGATCTAAGGATCTCGGTTCAAAGCCAGCCCGGGCAGGAAAGTCTGGGAGACTCTTACCTCCAATAAACAAATAGAAAACCAGAAGTGACGCTGTGGCTCAAGTGGTAGAGCACTAGCCTTGAGCTGAAGAGTGCAGGGACAGCGCCCAAGCCTAGAGTTCAAGCCCCACAACCAACCAAAACAAAACAAAAAACAAATACCTAGCTTTTAGGTCATGCCCTGGATGAGCCAACTCATCCAGAGATCAGCTTGCAATCAGAGAAATGGAGAACTGTTCAAAACTATGAGGAGGCCTGGTGCTGGTTACTCATGCCTGTAATAATAGCTATTCAGGAGGCTTAATTCTGAGGATCACAGTTCAAAGCCAGCCTGGCAGAAAAGTCCCCATGAGACTCTTATCTCAAGTTAACCACTCAAAAATCAAAGTGTAGCTCAAAGTGGTAGAGCACTAGCCTTGAACAAAAAGTTCATAGATAGCCTGGCACCAGTAGCTCAGGCCTGTAATCCTAGCTACTCAGGAGGCTGATGTCTGAGGATTGCAGTTCAAAGCCAGCCAGGTCAGGAAAGTCCTTGAGACTCTTATCTCCAATTAGCTACCAGAAAACGGGAAGTGGTGCTGTGGCTCGTTTGAGCTGAAGAGTGCAGGAAAAGCACCCAGGCTAGAGTTCAAGCCCCACGACAGAAAGAAAGAAAGAGAGAGAGAGAGAAAGAAAGAAGAAAAGAAAGAAAGAAAGGCTCATAGATAGTACCCAGTCCCTGAGTTCAAGCCTCACGACTCACCAAAAAACAAAAAAAACAAAAACTATGAGGTGACAAAAACATAGCCAGTTATCCCAATTCCAAATGGGCTGATGAGTTAGAAGCCAGGGAACTAAAAACAGCCATGATTGACTTCCTTTCTGCCATGGCACAGACTCTGCTGAGTGCTTTGCACCTGTTGCTGCACAGCTATGAGCCATGCACTATCACCCCCACTTTATTGAGGGGAGGCAAGCTCAGAGAGTTTGGTCACTAACCCATGTGCTCATAGGCGCCCAGTAGTAGAACTCATATCTTACTTTCTCATGCAGAGCCTTTCTTTTTAACCACTATATTCTTCTGCCATTTGGGGAACCTCAGCTATAGAAGCATACTGAGAGCTAAAGGAGGCCTGTGTCTGGTGGCTGGCTGGTGGCCAGAGCTGGCCCATCTATACTTCAACTCTGCAGAAATGCGTTAAGACCAATTTCAGACTATATCTCCTGGGACAGATCAGGTGCCGCAGCAACAGCAGAGCCCATAGGGGTCCTCAGCACACCACAGCAGAGGGCTAAGGAAGGAGAGCTGATTCTCTTATTTTTGTTGTTGTTGTTGGTTGTGGGGAGGGGGGTGGTTTGAACTCTGGGCCTGGGTGCTGTCCCTCAGCTCTTCAAATCAAGGCTAGCACTCTACCACTTGCCACAGCACCACTTCAGGTTTTCTGAGTGGTTTATTAGAGATAAGAGTCTCTCAGCCTCCTGAGTAACGAGGATTTCAGGTGTGAGCCACTGGTGCCTGGCTAGCTGATTCTCTTTCTCTTGGACTCCAACTTTGGGCCACAGATGGCCAGTAAAAGAGCCCTCTCTGAAACCATTGTCCTCTTGCTTCACTGTCCTCTCTGGGCTTCCTGCAGGCAGCTGCAAAGCAGGAAAGCAGCTTCATGCAGCAGCAGGTTCTCACCCTGGAACAGGAGTACAGAGAGCGTACCCATTCACTGGAGGCCCAGCTCACTGCCCTGGAGCAGGGGCGGGCAGCTGACCGGACAGCTGCAGAGCACGGGATGGTGAGTGGAGAAGGGAGGGAAGCAAACAGTAGCACCTTGCCCAGCCCCATCTTAATTTGCCCAGCACTTGGTTGGCAATACAAGGCTCTTCTTAGCTAAGGAAGCATTTTATATAAGTACCTGTTCATGAGACTAGATATGATAAGGCTACTTTTTATAGAAACCTTAAGCAGGGGCTGGGAAAGTGGCTCAGTGGTAGAGCACTTGCCTTGCATGCATGAGGCCCTGGGTTTGATTCCTCAGCACCACATAAGAAAAAAAAAAACCGGAAGTGGCGCTGTGGCTCAAGTGGTAGAGCGCTAGCCTTGAGCTTAAGAGCTGAGGGACAGCGCCCAGGCCCAGAGTTCAGGCCCCTGGAAAAAATACAGTAGCTAAGACCTTTTTTTTAAAATATGTGTTCTCAACTTGCAGAAAGAGCTGGAGCAAGAAAATGCTGCCCTCAAAGAAAGCAAAAACGAATGTGAACGCTCTTTACAACATCACCAATTTGAACTGAATAAGCTAAAGGTATTTATCAAATAGAATCAGAGTTCAGAAAATTTGCATCTTTTATATTGAAAAAAATATATTTGGAGCACCCAAGGGAGATTCCTGTACTTATAGTTGACTAGAGGAACTAACACTTGTTGAGTATTTCTCTTAGGCATCTTCTGGAAAGCTTCACTTTATCAAGTCCTCTCAGGAATCCAGATGTAAAATGGTGCTCATTGGCAATATCCTTTGGGTTCTGAGTGCCAGTAATTTGTCTAGATGCCATACCTAGTTAAGAGGCAGTGCTAGTCTGGTATATCTTCCCATCACAGAGGCCCAGCTCTTCTCTGTGTAACTGTCAACAGCTATCTAAACATTAAGCTGTTAGAACACCCCTCGGGCTGTAGGGCAGGGAAGGTGGCTCAGTGGTAGAGTGCTTGCCTTGCATGCATGAGGCCCTGGGTTCGATTCCTCAGCACCACATAAGCAAAAAGAAAAAAGCCGGAAGTGGCGCTGTGGCTCAAGTGGTAGAGCGCTAGCCTTGAGCTGAAGAGCTGAGGGACAGCGCCCAGGCCCACAGTTCAGGCCCCATGACTGGACCCCCCCCCCCCCCCAAAAAAAAAAAAAAGACTTTTATTTGTATCAGGGACCTTGTACAAATAAAAATAATCTAGTTCTTGCCTTATCATACTGTGCAAGATGCTTTAGTCCTGTCTACCGATTGCATTCCCTGGACAGAACTGCATAACCACTTTTTACCAGCCTCCAGGCTCCCCAGACCCTTCACAGCCCCCTTGAAGATGGATCATTGAGTATTTTCTCAGTCCTGATAACATCACTTGCAAATCCCTTGGCACTGATGTTCCCTGAGAACAGCCATAGCTCAGTGCCTACATGTCTTAAGCTTTCAGTGAGTGTGCCTTTACTTAGGCAAAGACCTGGGGTAGGTGAAAAATTTTATGTGCCCAGCGAACCACTGAGGCAACTAAGTGCATAGAGTAGCATTCTCAGTGTCTGGTAGTGTTTTCATTAGCCAATCTGGAAATCAGAGCAGAGGTTCAGGATAGATGTATAAATTTGAAAACTGTCAGATAGGACCAAGAAGCATGTTGTGATCTGAAGACTGGTCACTAAAGATATAACAAAAGAATATATAAAGTCAGACTGGGCAGGAAAGTTCATAAGACTCTTATCTCCAATTAACTACCAGAAAACTGGAAGTGGCACTGTGGCTGAAAGTGGTAGAGCGCTAGCCTTGAGCAGAGAGGAAAAGCTCAGGGACAGCGCCCAAGCCCTGAGTTCAAGTCCCATGACCAACAGCAACAAAAACAAAAAGAATATATAAAGACTTACCAGGATCCTGGCGCTGGTGGCTCACGTCTGTAAACCTAGATACTCAGAAGGCTGAGGATCACAGTTCAAAGCCAGCTCAGGTAGAAAAGTCCCTGTGAGACTCTTATCTCCAATTAACCTCTCAAAAACTGGTTGTAGCACTATGGCTTCAAGTGGTAGAGCACTAGCCTTAAGCAAAAGAGCTCAAGGGACAACACCTAAGCCCTGTTCAAGCCCCAGGACCCACTCCCCCCCACCCCCCCCAAAAAAAACAAACAGAACAGCCTGGCATTGGTGGCTCAATCAGTAATTCTAGCTCTCAGGATACTGAGATTTGAAGATCATGTTTCAAAACCGGCCCAGGCAGGAAAAATGAGACTCTTACCTCCAATTAATGACCAAAGGGCCAGAAGTGGAGCTGTAGCTCAAGTGGTAGAGGACTAGCCTTAAGGTAAAAAAGCACTGGGAAGGTGGCTCAGTGGTAGAGCGCTTGCCTTTTATGCATGAGGCCCTGGGTTCGATTCCTTAGCACCACATAAGCAAAAAGAAAAAAGCTGGAAGTGGTGCTATGGCTCAAGTGGTAGAGCGCTAGCCTTGAGCTGAAGAGCTGAGGGACAGCGCCCAGGCCCAGAGTTCAGGCCCCACGACTGGACCCAAAAAATAAAAAAGATAAAAAAGCTTAGGGACAGCACTCAGATCCTGATTTCAAGCCCTAGGACTGGCACCAAAAAAAAGAAAGAGTAAAACCCAAAGGCGGAAGTGACAAATATAAGAGCACAAATTAATTAAACAAAATAGAAGTGAGATTCTCTCACTAGAATGAACTTGAGAGCCAGTTGCTAGTAGCTTACATTTGTAATTCTAGCTACTCAGAAGAAGACTGAAGAAAGGATTTGAAGCCGCCCAGGGAGAAAAATTTGTGAAGTTCTTACTACCAGTTAACCACCAAAAAAGCCAGAAGTGGAGCTGTGGCTCCAGCGGTAGAGCACTAGTCTTGAGGGACAGCACCCGGCCCTGAGTTCAAGCCCCACGAATGGCACACAGACACACACCAAAAAAGAGCATGGGGCTGGGAATGTGGCTTAGAGGTACAGTGCTTGCCTAGTATGCATGAAGCTCTGGGTTCGATTCCTCAGTACCACATAAACAGAAAAAGCTGGAAATGGCACTGTGGCTCAAGTGGTAGAATGCTACCCTTGCACAAAAAGAAGCTCAGGGACAGTGGCCAGTCCCTGAGATCTAGCCCCAGTACTGGCCAAAAAAAGGTGGGGGGAGGACATTACACATCCTGCAGACTTAAGAAAAATAAGAAATATAAATAAGCAGGGCACTGATGACTCATGCTATAATCCTAGCAACTCAAGGAGGCTGAGATCTGAGGATCGAGATTTGAAGCCAGCCCAGGCAGGAAAGTCTGTGAGATTTTTTTTTTTTTTTGGTCAGTTGTGGGGCTTGAACTCTGGGCGTGGGCGCTATCCTTGCGCTCAGAGCTCAAGGCGAGCACTCTACTGCTTGAGTCACAGCACCACTTCTGGTTTTCTAGTGGTTTATTGGAGATAAGAGTCTCACGGACTTTCCTGCCTGGGCTGGCTTTGAAACGAGATCCTTAGATCTCAGCCTCCTGAGTAGCTAGGATTACAGATTAACCACCAGAAGACTAGAAGTAGCACTGTGGCTTAAAGTGGTAGAATGCTCACCTTGAGCAAAAGAGCTCAGGGACAGAGCCCAGGCCCTGAGTTAAAGCCCCATGACCACCACCACCAACAAAAACAAATGGAAGCAACTTCATGCCACCAATGTTTTTTGAAAGTTATGTAAGGTTGGGTATGATGCTATCTGCCTATAATCACAGTATTCAGGAAGCTGAGGCAGAGGAATGAAGAGTTCAAAGCCAGTCTGGGCTATATAACAAAACCCCATTAGTTATGAAATGCTAAATTATAGAAGGATATAACTTGTCAAGCTGTATAATGGGCTGAGCAATGACTCCCAATGATATTCACTTAACCTTTTATGTCAAAGGGGCTCTACAGATGGGATTAAAGATTTTGACATAAGGGATCTTGCTAGATTATCTGGGTGAACCCGAATAATGACAAGAATCTTTGTAAGATTGAGGCAGAGACAGGTTTTCCACAGATGGCATAGCAAAGGCACTGTTCTCTTAGAAGATGGAGAATGGTTCTGGACCACAGGCTACATTCAAGTGTTGCTATAGCCCACAGGCGCTCCATTCAGGCTTCTGGCCTGCACTGCTGGAAGGGGATTAATTCCTATTGTGTCACATCAGCAGGTTCATAGCAACTTGTTACAGTAGGTAAAAAAAATGAATACACAGGGCCTGGGAAGGTGGCTCAGTGGTTGAGTGTTTGCCTTGCATGCATAAAACCCTGGGTTTGATTCCTCAGCACCATATAACTAGAAAAAGCTGGATGTGGTGCTGTGGCTCAAGTGGTAGAGCACTAGCCTTGAGCTGAAGAGCTGAGGGACAGCGCCCAGGCCCAGAGTTCAAGCCCATGACTGACAAAAGAAAAAAAAGAATACACAGACACTGGAAGAAATGGAAAGTGACCCACAATGTATCCTGCATGCCCAGTTAAGAGTCATAGTCATGCCAGTCCACTTACATGGGTGAGGAGATGCATTCTAATGAACTTTAATGGTGACAGCTAAAAGATAGCACAGTCAGGCCTTAATCTTCCTATCACTGCCTCTTAAGTTAGAATTACAGGCATGCACAACCTAGCCTCCAGATTTTCACTTTTTGCAGTTACCTTCCCCTGTGGTAAGTATATTACCTATTTCATATTCCGCAAAAGTCAGTGTTGGGCTGGGCGCCAGTAGCTTATGCCTGTAAATACAGCTACTGTGGAGGCTGAGATCTGAAGTCGCAGTTCGAAGCTGGCCTAGGCAGAAAAGTCTCTGTGACTCTTATCTTCAATTAACCACTCAAAAACTAGAAGTACTGCTGTGGCTCCAGTTGGTAGAGCATTATCCTGAGCCAAAGAGCTCAGGGACAGCACCCCAGCCCCAAGTTCAAGCCACATGACCTACCTAAAAGCAAAACAAAACAAAAAATTATAGCATGAAGGTGACAACTACAGGAGCAGCTTGTAATCCTCAGACAAAGTGAAGTCAGCAACTTGGCGCTCAGACTTCTGAGCAGATGCTGTGCAGCTGGTGCTGGGCATGCTATGGGTGGCACAGCAGCAAGTGTTGGGCAAACTGCAGTGTGCTGTAGCTACTGTTCCAGGAAACCGCTGCTGACTGAGGAATGAGGCCGCGGGGTAAATGACAAGAGTCAGGAGCAAGCATTTCAGCCTCTTGCCTCCCGGCCTCCCGGGGTCTCCCCTGTTGGCAGGTATTAGGGTAGAGCCAGTTGGACCAGCCAGAATGAGTTTACAGAGTCCCAGGCTTAGAAATTCGGAGCAAAAGATAGAAGGATGGCCACAGGCTAAGAGGCAATAACTCAAAACCCAGCGCATGCAGGCAATTTAAACATGTGGCTACTTTCTCAATGTTTGGAGAACTTTCTGGATCTTTGGGGTTTCCTAGTGTTTTGGCAGGTAATGCTCTGATGATTTCAGTCCTTTGATACTATTCTGGCTTGTTTTACTACCCACCGTATACCCAAATATTTCATTGCACTTGAATGTATATTCAGTGCAAGCATGGTTACATGCCTGATGCCAGCCACTCAGGTGGCAGTGATGAGGAGGATAGCAGTTTGAGGCCAGCCTGTGCAAAAATCTAGTGAACCCTCACTTCACCCAACGAAGTGGGGGATTGTGGCATGCATCTCTGGTCCCAGCTGCACTGGAGCATAGATTGGAGGATGGTCATCCCTGGGTAGCAAAAATGTAAAAACCCAACCTGAAAACAAAAAGGATTCAGGGAACGGCTCAAGTGGTGGAATGCTTGCCTAGCAAGCTCCCATCCCTAAGTTCAAACCTCAGTCCTGGCAAAACTATTCAAACCCAAGTACCTAAGTACTCAAGAGGCTAAGGATCTAAGGATAGAAGTTTGAAGCCAACCCAGGCAGACATTCAAAGTGACCATTATTTCCAGTTTAGTAAAAAGCCAGAACTGGAAGCATGGCTCAAGTGGTAGAGCACCAATTGTAAGCCAAAAAGCTGAGAGCATGAAGTCAAGTTCAAGTGCCTAGTACTGGTCACAAAGAGTGAGGGGAAGGGGAAGGGGAAGGAGGAGAGGGGAGAGGAGCAGAGGGGAAGAAAGGAAGGAAACATGGCCAAACTTTGGAATCATTCTCCTGTAATCTGAATTGTAGGAAGAATGGAACCAAAGAGAGGTCATGAGTGTGGCCATGGCTCAAGCCCTGGAGGAGGTGCGGAAACAGAGGGAAGAGTTCCAGCAACAGGTGGGCTCCCGTGCAAACCCAAGCCCAGAGGCCCTGCTGCATCCATCCGGCGCAGGGTGGCTGCAGGTCTGGGGCCAGTGGGGAAAAAGACACCCCAGGATATGTTTTCTTGATTCTGGGAAGTAGGGAGGGCATCACTGTCCACTGGCCCAAAGCTTATCTGAGGGTGAGTTGAGCCTTAACCAAGAACAGTAGAGAGCCTGCCTTGTGAGACAGACTGAGAGCAAACCTGGCTCTTCTGGGTCACTGGCTCCAGGGCTTTGCTGAGTCCTTGACGAATCTAAGTCTCAGAGTCACCTCTGAAAAATGGCACATTGAAGGTGCCTGGGAAAGGGAGGTTACAGCCACAGCCACGTGTTGGCATGGCCCTATCACAGCCGCTGTGAACCAGAGGACGGTGAGAGGTGCATGCCCCACACGGCCTGCGGGGAGAGTGGATGTGTGCGCTTGTAGGAGAGGTCCCTGCAGGCTGTGGATGATGGAGGAGCACCACAGGGACACGAGTGGTGGGAAGTGGGGTTCCCCAGCCCATCTCACACTGAGCCTTCCTCCAAGGCTGCTGAACTGAGTGCCGCAGTGGACGAGAAGGAGCGGGGTCTGCGGGAGAAGGCCGACGCACTTCTTCAGAGGGAGCAGGAGGTACACCAGCTGCAGATAGGTGAGCTGTCCCCGGCCAGCTGCCCAAGACAGGCCCCACGTGGCTTCTGGCTCATTCCCCATACCCCTCGCCACTGCAGGCCACGACGCTGCCCTGTGCCAGCTGCACCAACTGCAGTGTGAGCTGGAGGCACTAAGGAGCTCCCGGACCCAGGAGGCTGCCACACAAGACCCACTGCATCTGCACAGCCAGGAGCTGCTCGTAAGTCATCTGTGTGCTGCAGCGGACACAGGGCATTCACTCTTGATCTCCTTCTTGCTGTCCCACTTGCTCTCACTGTCAGGTGTGGTGCCTGACAAGGCCCAGGGCCTGTGCACTGGTCACACCTCCAGCATATGGACTCTCACTGTCTACCTGGAAAGCAGTGGATGAGATCTTATCATTAATTTGCATCTGCCTCATCAAGCCACACCTGTGGGACCATGCACCTCCTCTTCCTCACCCACCCGTGGCTTAGCTTCCATGTTATCTGTCCCAGCTCTCAACTTGCTGCTGCCATCCTATAGGTCACCTCAAAGGCCATGCATGACCCTGTGTACCAGCTTCCGGCCACAGAAGGAACACCAAATGGCGAGGTTGGGGCCATGGATCTAGGGCAGCTGCAGAAGGAAAAGCAAGACTTGGAACAGCAACTTATAGAGAAAAATAAGGTGAGGATGTCCTTTGTCTGTGTCCAGCCCTTGGACATGAAAGAATCCACTCCTCTCAGAGGGTTCTGCTGTGCCCATTCCCCTGGGGATTTTACCTCACTCTCCAAAGAGCTTCATCCTACCTTTCCTCCTCAGCCTCTCTCTTCTGCCTTCCTCCCCTCCCCCTGGCCAGTGTCAGACCTGAGTAGCGGTCCAACCAGAACCCTTTGCACTCTGTTGTCCCTAGTCCAAGGCTGTTGCAGAGGTTGGGGAATAGATAAATACCATGACTGTGCCCTGCCTCCCTGCCCGCTTGCCTCCCTGCCTGCCTGCCTGCCTGCCTCCGTCCCTGCCTGCCCGCCCGCCTGCTCGGCACCTGGGAGCACAATCCACTTATTCCTTCTGGCCCTTAATGAATCTGTGTGCCTAGTGTGTTGGCTTGGTGTCAGTCCCTTATCACTCCAGCTGAAATGCTGCCCTACCCCAAGTTGTCGGTGTTAGGGATATGGGGCACATATTTAATAAAGGGTTGGAGACTCTCTGCCCCCACCCGTGTGTGCCAGGGACATTTAAGAGGGTCTCCATTCTCCCTCTCCATTCTGCCCTGCTTTGCCTTGCTTTACTGAATCAATTTTTACTCAAGGTGAAAAAAATAAAAGTAAAGGCACTCATCTCCCCACTCACCCCCATTTGATTTCTTACTGTAAAATGTAAAATACATACAGTAAAGTATGCAAAACAAATGTGTGGCTCAGTCAATTAACATCAAGCAAACACATGTGACAAATCAGAACATCACCAGCGTCCCATTAGCCACGCCCCTCAGACCCCTCCCATTCCCTTACTAGGAACCTGGACATGGCTGTCCTGCGTTCTCTCTACTTTCATTACCTGAGCATGCAGTCCCGAGTACTAGAATTGAGTTTTGCCCACTGGTGACTTTGAGTGTGTCTTGCAGGACCTGTTATATGTCACACCTCTGTCCCCACTAACCATAGGTTATCTGCATAGAAGCTAGCTTATTCTGGTTTCTACAGCCTTGCTCACTTTCAACTCTCTGGTCTCTCTCTCTCTGTCCTGGCAAAGTCCTAGCTCTGGTTAGGCCAAAGCGGCCAGAGCCTGAGGCCACTGTCCCTAGGCCACACAGGGTCCTACCACTCAGCCTTACTCTGCCTCTCCTCTCTACCTCAGCCCTGGAATTCCTTTCCCCCTGGTTTTGCTGCCCTCTATCAGCCTGTGTCACTGCCACCACGCTCTACCTCCTTGAGAGTCTAATCCAGCCGACTGCACTCTCTCCAAACTGCCATTTCTGCCCCCATGCACACCGGTTCGCTGAATGCCCCCTGTTCTCCATGGGCTTCTTGCCTGCCTCTCCCCAGAGATGACATCTTGTCAGGCCATCAGGGACACCACATTGCAAGTCCAGAAGAGATAGTTCCTCCCCTAAGAGGCCTGTGCGGTACTTGGTTAAGCCACTGCCTCCCCTGCAGTTCCTCCCTTCCCCCCCCCCCCTCTTCTCCTGTCCTGGGAGGGGCTGTGTCCGCCTGCTCCACTGCACCACCCTCCCCCCCCCCACCTCTTCCCTCCCAGTAATCTCATGCTCTTCTCACTCCAGCACCTGTGTCTCCACATGAGTGTCCCAAAGGCATCTGGAATTCCCCTGCTGCCCAGCTTCTGTTGCTATCTGTCCCAGCAATCAGTGTGGCACTTGGGAGTCATCAGCACCCAGACCTGATGCAGATCCTTTGCCTCCCTGCGGCCTTGTGTACCCAGTTCACTACTTCTCACTACCACCAGTCACCCACTCTGGCTGCAGCCTCCCTTCCCAAGGGGAGGGTCACTGCGTTGCCACTGCCTCTGTCTCAGCCTGATGACTTCCTGTCTCAATCTAGATAGGAGGTGTGGCTCCTTGTTCCCCTTCCCTCCCCAAGCACTCTCTCGCCTCAGGACTGTGCACTTGCTGAGCCTCAGCCCGTGAGAGTCTCACTTCCTGTGTGGTGTCACTTTATCACCACCAGAGCCCTCTAGTTTTCATGCTTTCTATGATAGCATCTGTACAATTATTGGATGCATTAATGAACAAGTAGAAAATCAAGTACCATAAAATAGCAAATATGCTTTTGGGAGAAATGTCCAGCCTGTCATCCAAGAGTCCAAATTAAAACCACAAAGTGCATTTTATGCACATGCTATAGGGCGTGTGGCAGTGAATGAAAACCCTCCTCAAGAAGGGAGTGGAGACCCTTCAGAGCTCTCAGCAGTGGTCTCCCAGGAAAAACTGTGAGGTACCTTCCTGAGAAAACAAAGCTTCTTCCCCTCTTGTTTCAAGATGGAAACCACGGGCAGTGCTTACCTGCCATGCACACAGCTCTGGCTCTCACCCCAGCACCACAGAAAATACAAATGGAAACGCAGCCCCACAGACCCAGGGCAAACCCTAGAGTTGCTGTCCTATTAAAAGTTACTACTGCTGGCGTTGGTGGCTCATGCCTGTAATCCTAGCTACTCAGGAGGCTGAGATCTGAAGATCGAGGTTCAAAGCCAGCCTGGGCAAGGAAAGTCCATGAGGCTCTTATCTCCAATTAACCACCAGAAAACTGGAAGTGGCGCTGTGGTTCAAGTGGTAGAGCGTTCACCTTGAGCTGAAGAGCTGAGGGGCAGCGCCCAGGCCTAGAGTTCAAGCCCCATGACCAACAACAACAACAAGTTACTATTGGGAAGGCTGAAAACAGGCTGAGTAAAAAGAAGTATTCATAATTCTAACATATCCACGCAAGAGTAGAGACATGGACTAGAAGTGAATATTCTCATTTGTTGTGTTACACTTAAGAAACTTTATATACTTTATCCTTTTTGCCAAGACTGGGACTTGAACTGGTAGCCTTGTACTTGTTTGGCTTGGCTACTATTGGAGCCATGCTCCAGCCCAGCTTTGGAAATGGACCTTTCTGTGCCTGAGCTGGCCTCAAACGAAGATCTAGGTCTCAGCCTCTGAACAGATTCATAGCATGAGCCACCTACAGCTAGCTAGACTATTTTTAAGATTTGCTTCCATCCTGTTATTACTTTTCCATAAGTTTACAATGTATTCCAGTCCACCCCCCGCCCTTATTCTCCCTAGGAGACATTTTTATTTAAGATGCTTTCCTTAGGCCAGACTTCCAGCTCTGGAAAAAAAATTATATAGGCATTCAGGAGAGCAGTGGTGATGGGAACACTAAGTCTCCTCCTTGGGGCTCCTGGCACTCAGAATCCCATAGGACAGAAAAGGCTGTGCATAGCTGTCCCCAGTAGTGCTGCTCCAGGATTCCACATGGAGGAAGCAGACCCACAGGCCTGCGGGGTTGGTTGGCAGCACCGCCAGAGCAGTGCTCTGCAGACAGAAGCATGAGGGGGAGAGCAGCAGTATGAGAGAGAAAGGACCCTGGAAGTGGGCTCATGCATTGGACCACTGAGCACAGGCCACTTGGTGCTGTCTGCACTCGATGCTCAGTGATCCTCAGTGCCTTTCTGAAGAGGGCATGCCTCTAATGATGCCTTTGGGTGGGGTTTGTCTCAGACCCTCAGGCAGATGCAGCAGAGGATGCTAGAACTCAAGAAGACTCTGCAGAAGGAGCTGGTAAGTCCACACACCTGGTGTCCACCCTGGGGCTCAGCCCCGATCCTCCCCACCCTCCCTGGCTCTCTGGGCCTTCTGGGTCCCTTGCCTGGTGCTTCCTTAGGTCAGGTGTGGGCCTGGGCCTTCTCTGGGCTTGCACCCTCATTACAGGTGGGCTGGCTGTGAAAGTCAGTGCAGTGGTGTTGGTCAGCTTGCATGGCCCACAGCTGTGTATGGCAGGTGCTGGCTGACCAGGATGAACTCTGCACCTCTGTTCCAGCTGCAGGCATCCTGGACACAGATAAGGCAAGGTGACCTCTTCTCTCAGTTGTCAGCCCAATCTGGAGGTGCTGAGCTTTTCTCAGACTCGGGCCTCCTTCTCAGGGATACCTTCTACCTCCATCCCCAGTACAGAGGAGAAAGAGGGGCAGCAGTGACCACCGGGATGGCCTGGAAATCATGATTTTAGACCCGTTCACCGTAGCCCTTTCCATTGATTTTCAGAAAATTCGACCTGACAATGAGATTTTTGAAGTCCGGGAGAAGCCAGGCCCTGAGATGCCAAACATGGCCTCTTCTGTCACAAATAACGCTGACCTGACTGATGCCCGTGAGATCAACTTCGAGTACCTTAAACATGTTGTCCTAAAATTCATGTCCTGTCGGGAATCTGAGGTAAAGGGCATTCAAGCTGCTTCTGGGTATTGAATGCAGCCCTGCAGAGCATGCATGCTTCCTCCCTGACACCCCCACCTCCACCCCCCATCCACTTCTTCCCCCAGCATTGGCCTGACTGAGCAGCAGGCGACCCAGAGACCATGGAGGGAACTGGCTCCCAAGGATAAGTCCTAGCTCAGGTGCTGAGGCCAGAATCCAGGGAACCAAATCCATACTGTTGCCACCTGCTGAAGACCTCTCAGCCCTTTGGTCTCCAAGTGAAAAATGGGGAAGGGAGGGGCGAGAGCGTGTCACTGCTTTCAGACCCTACAAGGCTCAAAGTCCATCTACCACCTGGCCTTTACTGACCAAGGCAAAGAGGAAATGCTGCCATTTAGCCCCCACCCCCACCCCCTACAGTCCTTTGAAGCAAAACTTAATTTTGTTTCAGGCTTTTCATCTTATAAAAGCTGTGTCTATGTTGCTGAACTTTTCACAAGAGGAAGAGAACATGCTCAAAGAAACTCTGGAATATAAGGTGGGTTCCCAGGTATCTGGCAACCAGAGCCAGCCACATCTGCATTAGCAACTTAGTTGCTTTGGAATGATGAACTTGATTGGCAATTCAAAGGGTATCCTTTGTGCTGCCCTGTATTTGCCAACAGAATTCTGATTTCTTAAAGCATCATTATTGTGGCTGGGAATGTGGCTTAGTGGTAGAGTGCTTGCCTAGCATGCATGAAGCCTTAGGTTCAAGTCCTCAGTCCCACATAAATAGAAAAAGCCAGAAGGGGCACTGTGGCTCAAGTGGTAGAGTGCTAGCCTTGAGCAAAAGCTCAGGGACAGTGCCCAGGTCCTGAGTTCAAGCCCCAGGACTGGCAAAAAAAAAAAAAAAAAAAGAAAAAAGTATTGTCACTGATATCCTTCTTCAACAGGCCCTGGAATAGTCTAGTACTATTTTTTTTTATTGCATTTATTTCTGTGATGAGGGTATAACTCAGTGGTAGAACACTTCCCTAGCGTGTGCAAGGTCCTGGTTTAATCCCCAGCACTGACAAAAAGGTCACAAAATGTCAAACTTATCTGTATATACTTTTGTATCATGTGTATTAGAGCCAGGTTCTGGTGGCACAAGCCTGTAATCCTAGCTACTCAAGACTCTAAAATCCAAGGATCACAGTTCAAAGCCAACTTTGAGCAGACAAATCTGAGATTTATCTCCAACTAACCAGTAAAGCCCACAAGCGGTGGTTCATACCTGTAATCCTAGCTACTCAGGAAGCTGAGATGTGGGGCTGGGAAGGTGGCTCAGTGGTAGAGCGTTTGCCTTGCATGCCTGAGGCCCTGGGTTCGATTCCTCAGCACCACATAAGCAAAAAGAAAAAAGCTGGAAGTGGTGTTGTGGCTCAAGTGGTAGAGTGCTAGCCTTGAGCTGAAGAGCTGAGGGACAGTGCCCAGGCCCAGAGTTCAAGCCCCACGACTGGACCAAAAAAAAAAAAAAAAAAAAAGCTGAGATGTGAGGAACATGATTTGAAGGCAGTCCGGGTAGGAAAGTCTGAGACTTCTCTCCAGTTAACCACCAAAAAAAGGCCCAACATGGAGCTGTAACCCAAGAAATAGAGCTTTAACTTTGAGCAGAAAAGCTCAGGGACAGCAGCCAGGCCGAGTTCAAGCCCCATGGCTGGTACAAAAAAAGAAAAAGTTGCCCACAATACCATTTTCTCTCATTTCTTTCCCATAAATCTAACCTTTTTAGTCCTACAGACTGGGTTCCTTGGAGCCCTCTTCACTGCCCTGCTCACAGCCAGTGATGATAGCTGAGCTGCTCTGCTTCCTCTGCTTATCTTGGGACCCTTTTCCCTTTCCTATGCAGATGTCCTGGTTTGGGTCCAAACCAGCTCCCAAAGGCAGCATCCGGCCATCTATCTCCAGCCCTCGGATACCATGGTCCTAGAAGGAATCACCCACCCAAGGATTCAGCTCCATAGGTTGACACTTTTTCTGTGAAAAGAACACTAACACACCAGTCTGGGTGGGTTTTTAATCACTGTATCTGCAGTATTTTGTACAAGCTCCCAAACATTGTTTACAAGACTTAAAGGCCCGCCTCCCTATAGGCTGATAGGAACCTCAGGAGGAAGCTGATCCTATGACATTCTGGTCATCAAACTGGAAGGCCCAGGCACTACCAGATTTCCAGTGCTGCTAATACCCCAGCTCTGGCCAGCACCTGAGTCCTCTAACTTCATAACATTAGCACTTAAAGCTGAAGCAGGCAGCCTGTTAGGCAACAAGTGATTGATCATGTAAGAGGTGATATGAGCCTGGAGGTGAAGACAGCCTTTGAAGAAATCAACTCAGTGGACATAGTTAGTGGTACATGCCTGCAACCTCAGCACTAGGAGGCGGAGGCAGGATTCTAAGTTCCAAGCCAGCCTGTGCTAATGTAGTGAGACTCTCAAGGAAGAAAAGAAGGTCTCCTTACATTAGCATGTTTGGGTTCGATGAGTTACAAGTTTTTTAACCCTTCTCAAGAAAACATCATTGCCCAAACCAAGACCTTGAGATATGTATGTATTTGGAGTACCTGGGACCAGGGTGGTTTCATGAAGAATCTGCAGCTTCTGGTGGCATCTCCATTTTACTTAAGAAAACTAGCGACAGAAAGATCCTAAGTATAGCACCAAATACACTCAATTGCCTTTTAAATGAATGTACTTGTCTTGATGGGTTGCTGGTAAACCATTTTAAACTATTTTTATAGCTAAAATTCACTATTATAAACATGTTTTCTGTATTATAAAATCCATGTAACTGATGTTCTTAAAGGAAAATCAGAACATCAAGAGGAAAATATCCCCATCCCCATGTCATGTTGCTAGCTGTGTGTGGCATCTGCTGTCTGCAGCAGTGGTGGGATTTCACTTGCTTTCCTCTTCAGTCTGTCCCACTACCACAGAGCAAATGCTAATCACTGTCTCTTACGGACAACCTGCTCAAGCCCATGGAAGCAGCATGTCTGTTCTTCCCCAGTCTGCCTTGTGTGGAGCCCACTCTCCCTCACCTCCCCCGGAATTTAAGATGACACTACTTTCATATCCAGCCTCAGCGGCTGCATACTTAATAGCACAACATGCCTCTAGCCAGAGGGATGAACGCTTGAGTTCCTCATTACACTTGTTCTGAATCTGAAGGGAAACATCTTATTGATTTACATTTTGATTAAACTTTCATTAGTAAATAAAAAATGGAATAACTGGAGCTCCTAAATTTATTATCAGCTAACTATGTAAAGTGGTTTCTCAGTTGTGGAACAATTAAGGCCTATACACACATGTACCTATAAAATACATCCCAGAGAAACACAAGTATTTGCATTTGCCTATACTTCCAGGAAGTACCAAGCCAGAACAGCATCACCTTAACCCATCTCAGGCTCTGCCCATTACCTACCTCCACATGTGGCTCCTTGCAGAAGTTTGTCCCTTTAGAATCCCACTTCCCATTTAGTGGGAAAACAAAGTGGGAGTCCCGTCATCCTGAGGAAGTGGTAGCTTCTGTACCAAGCAGGAGTTCCTTTTACACCTATCTTGAGAACTGGTTAGTCCATGGGTAACCAGCAGTAGCTACTGCACTGTGGAAGCCTGTCCCACTCCAGTGGCTTCTCCTGTTGAGACACTGAGATATGATGGGGCCTCTTGGGTAGTCACTCGGTTAGGGACGCCCCTCTGGCTAGGCTTTTCTGCTGCATGTTGAATTTCCTTCAGCTTTAAGAGGAAGAGTGGAATATTCCAAGTGATTGAATGCACTTTTACTTGTATAAAGTTTCCTGTGATAGACAGTATCTATCTATCTATATATAACCCTTTATATGAGCATTGGATCTTGATATCACTCCCAATGTTGTAAATAGGGACTGTATTATCTAAAAACTGCTGTAGAAAATTCATTTGTGGTGCAATACACTTTTTGATTAAAACTATTCAATCCAGACGCAACTAGAGTGGGTTTTACTTGATACAATGGTTTGGTACTCTGATCAGTACTTTGGTTATGTTCAGTCTAATACACATATTCAATACAAGGACTATAGATACTCGTCTTTCAAAAAAAGCCTCCTCAGACTGGATTTGTCTGAGTAACTAAGCATGTGATCTGATGAAGGCAACCAGCCTCCTTCTTGAAACTGCTGTGGCTCTGAGGAGCTTTGGGGGGGTGGGGGAGGAGCCAGAAAGACTTCAGGAATATGAATGAGGGCCTTGCTTTACAAGAATATCAGCTGCAGTTGTATGTGCAGAGAACACCTCTGAAGGGGCTCACCACTGGTAGCTACAGGGAATGAAGTTTTGCCAGTCTGGCTACTGGCTGACTGCTACCTGGTTCTGGCAGTTGGTTCACTAAAGGAAACTTGTCTGCAACACAACAGCACCAGCATCAGATGGTGACCAGGCATGGGAAGGACCACCCTCAAAAACTCCCAAGTGCAGCCACACAAATGGAAGACTTTTAAAGCCTTGGGCAATGATTACATGTTTGGCACTTTATTAATTTAAATAAACTCCAAAATTACATACAAATCAAAAGTAAGAAACAAATAGTTATTGAGCAAAATGCCTCTTGCAGCAGCCAGCAGCACTGCAGCCGAAGCTCTCAGACTGATGTGGCAAGAGGCCTGTGGAGTGGTGCTCTGCTCGCTCCCCGGGGACAGCTAGCTGGACACATGTCCACCCTTCCACAGTGACTTTCCAGAACAGTCCAACTCATTCATTATCATCCCATTTGTTACGCTTTCTTACATACAGGAAACACACTGCAATGTACATACTAATGAGCCAAGAGCTTTATTGATGCAGCAGGCACTTTACAATGAGCCCGAGAGAAACCTTCTCTGCAAAGACAGAATGTCTGTACAACTCTCAGGGTTTTTCCACTTCAAAAAAAAAAAAAACCAAAACAAAACAACAGGCTTCCTTTCACCACCACAGCCCTTGGATCTGCACCTGCCCAAATCACCCCTCCCCATGTTAAACAGGCAGTGCACACAGGCACACCTGACCGACGCTGGCCAGTCATTGCAGACAGTCCCACAGCACTTCTGCATTACTTTGTGGACAAAAGCAGACTCAGATCCTGCAAGGATTTAGGAAACAATAAGACAACTTTTCCCTCCACCTTGAAAATAAAATACATTTCCGCAGATATGTGTCCTGAAATATTTAGTTGGGAGTTCCTAGGAAGATAAGTTCATTGTCAATCCCTTCTTCACCAGCCTGGGCATCCAAAATTCTTCTCAAGGTAACATGAGTCTTTTTGTTAAACAGTCTTTCTTGCTGTAAGAACTCTTATAATGGAGCCTAGGCCTCCTACAGCTAAGGCCTGTGGGGCAGGAAAAGGAAACGTCAAGTGAGACCTGGCTGGCCGGGAACAAGGGTCCTGACCGGCTATGGAGACAGGACCACACACTCCAAGACCTAAATCCTACCATAACAGACTTCTGAGTGCAGTGCAGTGCAGACCATTTTCTAGGAAAGGGCCCCATCCTGGAGCTGAGGGTCCCGAGAACTGCCCGCCTTGAGACAAACCTGGCTTGTGGCCACTGTCTTCCAAGCACACAGCACAGCCCGTTTCCCTGAGACAAGATAAATGCTTCCAACTTGTCAGCGTGAGCCTAGGCACAGAAATGCATGCCAACCTTGAGAGCTGGCTGACCATAGATAGGGCAAGTCACCCGAGGGAAGGAGATTCCGTGGAAGGACCTGACTGCTCCACCGGGGCTACCCACATATACTGAGCTGCGGAGCTCAGTGGTAAAGCACTTGCCTCACATGCAAGAGGCCTCAGGTTCCTGGCCCTAGTTCTTGAAAAGTTCAAGGCTAAGCTCCTTGGGAAGGGCAGATGGTTGTTAGCCATATATAGTCCGGTCCCTTAATTGCTAGACACACGCACTGAAGTGTGCTCTAGAAGGTGAGGGAGCTACAGAAGGGCGGAGCACAGCAGCACGCGTGTTCACACATGGCCTGCGTGCTGTGTGCCAGTGCTGGGCTTGAACTCAACGCCTCACACCCTCGGCTGGCATTTTCACTCTGCCACGTGAGCCATAGCTCCACTTCCAGCTTTTTTTTTTTTTCTCTCAAGGACTTTCCTGCTTGGTCTGGTTTCAAACTGCAGTACTCACATCTCAGCTTCCTGGGTAGACAGGATTCTTGGCATGAGTCACTGGCACCCATCTATATCTATATATATGGCCTTGCTCTTAAAAGACTCCCCAAATGAGGGCAGACAGCCCTTTCTGATTTGCACGGACACTTCAAGGTATCTGTCCCTTCTGGTGTGTAAGGCTGAGCCCAGAGCAGGAAGCCCTTAGTTTTTTGTTTGTTTTTTTTTTGGGGGGGGGGTCCAGTCGTGGGGCCTGAACTCTGGGCCTGGGCGCTGTCCCTCAGCTCTTCAGCTCAAGGCTAGCACTCTACCACTTGAGCCACAGCGCCACTTCCGGCTTTTTTCTTTTTGCTTATGTGGTGCTGAGGAATCGAACCCAGGGCCTCAGGCACGTAAGGCAAGCATTCTACCACTGAGCCACCTTCCCAGCCCCAACCTCTTTAGTTCTTTTCTTTCCAAATTTTTGGCCAGTACTGGGTCTTGACCTCACTCAGCTTTCTTGCTCACAGCTGGTGCTCTAGTAGGTAAGCCAAGCCTCCAGCCCAGCCTGCTGGTTAATTAATTAGACAGGGATCTTGGGCTGGTTTCAAACCTCAGTTCTCCAGATCTCAGCCACTCAATTAGCTAGGATTATAGGTGTGAGCCACTGACCCAGAGCCAGCCACCTTCCCCGCAGCAGCGGAAGCCCCAATCAAGCAGCCAGCCTCACCTCACCAGGCCACTCCCCATGTCCTGCACCAAGGGGACGCTCTACCAGACCAAAAGCCATAGCTGAAAAGCAAAGGCAGTGGAAGAACAAAGAGAGCAGATTCCTATCAGCGACGTCTAGGGAGAGGTGAGTGACCAGCTGTGCCTGGCACTCCCACAGGCCCATCAGACGGTCCCACATTTGTTCTGGGAAAGCTGGCCTGCTGGGGCCACGTTACATACCTTTTCATGCCACTGGAGTAACACTGCACTGCTATTTTCTGTGGGCTTCTCGAACCCTTTATAAATGTACTTCATTAACAAGTCAACCCCATTTCTGTCCAGTGACTGCACAGCCTGCTCGATTTCGCTGCTCTTAAAGTTAGTGAGCACTTTCAGCACCACGCCTTGGGCTCGTTCCTAGAGGAGAGAGAAGGGGAGTGAGGCCCACTTGGTCCCCCATGTGTACTCACAGTGCCACACCACAGACAGAACTCACCAGAAACAGTGTCCAATTTCTAGTTCATCTAAGGAAGACAGTTAGAAAAAGAAATAGACTAAAATATTTTGCTCCTTTAAATTTCAATTTCTCTTATTTATGTTAATAAGGCGTTGCACTTACTTTGGAAGAAGGAGGAAGGAGTTTACTGGGGCCAAAGATCAGTTTTTCTTTTTTGTGGTGGTAGATGGAACCCAGGGCCTCAGGCTTCCAAGGCAAGTGTTCCACCTCTGAGCTGTTAGCTCCAGCCCAAGCTTTTTCTTTCTTTTGCTGCTGGTCTTGGGACTTAACTTGGGGCCTAGACTGAGATTTTTTGCTCATGGCTAGCAGTCTACCACTTTAGCCATCACTCTACTTCCTGCTTTTTGCTGGTTAACCGGAGATAAGAGTTTCACTGACTTTCCTACCTGGGTTGAGTCTGAACTGTGATCTTCAGATCTCAGACTCCTGAGTAGTGGCAGGAGCCACCAGTGCCTGGCTTCATTTTCCTGTTTGATGATACTAGCCAGGCCTTAAACTCCACGTGATGACATGATGGAAGTGCCTTTATTGGACTGCAGTTGCCCAAAGGATTGATACCCCTATAAAGCAGCTACGTCCTCCCACCTTTGTAAGATGCTAAATCCCAGCTGGAAGGAGGCCCCTCTTTCTGGACCAAGATTTAGAAATTTGGTCATGTAGTAAGAATAATTTCATTTTAATAAGTATGGAGGCTCATGCCTGTAATCTTAGCTATTCAAAAAGTTGAGATCTGAGGATCTCAGTTCGAAGCCAGCCTGAGCAGGAAACTCCATGACTCTTGCCTACAATTAATCGCCAAAAAGGCTGGAAGTGGAGCTGCAGCTCAAATGGCAAAGTGCTAGTCTTGCGAATGAAAACACTCAGGAACAAGCCGGGTGCTGGTGGCTCAGCTTGTAATCCTAGCTACTCAGGAGGGTGAGCTCTGAAGATCACAGTTCAAAGCCAGCCCAGGCAGAAAGTTCCCCTAAGACTCTTATCTCCACTAAGCTACACAAAAAAGCCGGAAGTGGCACTGTGGCTCAAGTGGCAAAGTATTAGCCTTGAGCACAAAGAGGCTAAGGGACAGTGCCCAGGCCCTGAGTTCAAGCTCCAAGACTGGCACAAAAAAATAACAGTAATTTCACCTTTTCATCTAGTTCTTAAAAGAAAGGAAACCCAAGATTGTGAATTGCTAGGCATGAATCATGGTTCACACTGTAATCTTAGCTACTCAGTAAGCTGAGATCTGAAGAATCTCATTCAATACCAGTCTAGGCAGAAATGCCCACTAGAATCTAACTCCAAAATAACCAGCAAAAAACAACGCTAGAGGGATGGCTCAAGTGACAGAGCATCAGCCTAGCAAACAAAAGGCACCGAGTTCAAACTCCAGTACTGCAAAAGAAGAAAAAAAATCTGAAATTGATAAAAAGCCACTTAAAATATTTGTCAATTTCTTGTTGTACTTACAGATCTTCATTTTTAATAAAGTGTATATGTATTCTTTATCACTATAAATTACTCTCTAAAAAAAAATAAAAATTTAAATTTAAAAAAGCAAAAGAGGCCATGCACCAGTAGCTTATGCCTATAATCCTAGCTACTCAGGAGGCTGAGATGTGAGGATCACAGTTCAAAGCCAGCCCAGGCAGGAAAAGTCCGTCAGACTTTTATCTTCAATTAACCACCAGAAAACCAGAAGTGGTGCTGGGGCCTAAAGTGGTAGAGCACTAAGCCCTGAGCTGAAGAGCTCAGGGACAGCACCCAGGCCCAAAGTTCCAGCCCCAAAACTGATTTAAAAAAAAAAAAAAAAGCTGGGAAGGTGGCTCAGTGGTAGAGCGCTTGCCTTGCATGCCTGAGGCCCTGGGTTCGGTTCCTCGGCACCAAATAAGCAAAAAGAAAAAAGCCGGAAGTGGTGCTGTGGCTCAAGTGGTACAGCGCTAAGAAAAAAAAAGAGGAAACCAAAGCAAAAACAAAAAATTTAATAAAAGAAAATCCAAAAAACACCTAAAATCCTCCTGCAGACAAAGCCTACTCAATAGTCCACGAATAACCACTGATAAAGCTCCACTAGACAACTAACCAGCTGTTGTGCTGACCAGCTGACTTCTCACCCCACCTGGGTAGAAGTGAATGTTTCTTGGGGGAGCTTTCATGATAAACACCGACAGCTCCGGTACTGGGTATGGCTTAGAGGTAGAGCACTGTGTAGCATGCTGAAGGCCCCAAGACCTATCCTCTACAGCGTAAACACACACAGCACTGATTCAATGTCATGTCAGAGGAACTCAACATCTAGAAGTGCTAAGGGCTTTCCTGGAAAGCACTTGCCAGTGCCACCTCACTCCCACTAACAAAGATGAAGCAAACCCTGCCCCCACCACAATGAGCCTGGAGAGAAAGACAACCACAGTCCTGAGGTCCTGAGCTGCCAAAGCATGGCAATCATTTTACCTTCACAGCTTGATTCTTGGTGTTGACTGGAGAGTTCCTCAAGGCTGCATGGAATGCCCGAAGCATGTCCCCTGTGCATCATGAGCAGTTAAGGATGGCTAAGTTCAAGTATGCCCATACTTTCAGTAATGACCTCACTTCAAAAACAGCTCCCAAGACATCTCCACACGCACCCCCATTCAATGACAGCCTTTCTGGTAGACATTGCCTGGTTTTATCTTGTAGGTTTCCTGAGCCATGGGGAAGTGGGGGGTCACTTCTAAATAACTGCCCCCTTAAGGGGGATTTGCAGTAAATCTGGCTGATCTCCTTTGCACCTGCTTGACACTGGGCACACTACCTGCCCCATTGGGCCCTCAGGGCAACCAGGCAAGTCTTCTCATTCTACAAAGAAAAAAAAAAGGGCAGGCACAAACAGTTTTAACTCTTCACCCAGTGCTTATCAAACTAAGGAGATCAAGACATGTTAACATATCCCTGCCTGACCACGCACAGATGGCTGATGCCTGTAATCCTAGCTACTCAGGAGTCTGAGACCTGAGGACTCTTATCTCCAATTAACCCCAGAAAACTGGAATTGGTGCTATGGCTCAAAGTGGTAAAGTGCTAGCCTTGTGCACAAAAGCTCAGGGACAGCACACGCCTTGAGTTCAAGCCCTCCAACTGACATCCCCCCCCCCAAAATATCTCTGCCTAGGACTGGGAATGTGGCTTAGTGGTAGAGTGCTTGCCTAGCTTGACTGAAGCCCTGGGTTCAATTCCTCAGTAGCACATAAACAGAAAAGGCCAGAAGTGGTGCTGTGGCTCAAGTGGTAGAGTGCTAGCCTTGAGCAAAAGCAGCTCAGGACAGTGCCCAGGCCCTGAGTTCAAGCTCCAGGATTGGCAGGAGGGAAAAAAAAAATCCCTGCCTAGGTCAATGAGGTCCCAACAGTTACAAGAATCTTTTCCCAATAAAATAAACCAGTCTCTGCTCCCCCACCCTCCACACCATAGTTGCAGTCCTAACATATTTTCCCCCAAGTTCTAGACACCGAGCACACAAAAGAAAATTACAATCTGGGTTAGGTCCCCAAAGGTGACACCTATTTTAAACGGAATTACATCAGCCAACTTTCATTTCCTCGTGTGAAACACTGGCTTCAGCCAAAAAGCTTCAAAAATAGAACAAGGAATGGCTCTGCCCAATCAGGTCTTTACTCCGGTTCATGCAGCAATACCCACATGGGTAGACAGGGTCTCTGGGGCACAACTGAACTCCCAGCTTCCCCATTGTGGGTTCTACCTTGGCTAAATTTGTCTACACCACAAGCATGCACCTGCCAGTCCTGGTTTCCCAGCTACTTGCTTGGATCTACCTTAACACTGGAAAGGCAGCCCACTCCCATTCCACCTTATCTTTCCACTTTGAAATTCCTTTTCCCAAAGCAAGGGCCAGTCCTGATGTGAGTCACTGATAGCCTCTTCCCTGTATCTCCTTTTCTTTTTTTTTTGGTCTGTCCTAGGGCTTAACTCTGGGCTTGAGAGGTCCCCAGCTCTACAGCTCAAGGCTAGCGCTCTACCACTTGAGCTACAGCGCCACTTCTGGTTTTCTGGTGGTTTATTGGAGAGTTTCACGGACTTTCCTGCCTGGGCTGGCTTTGAACCTCAGATCTCAGCCTCCTGAGTAGCTAGGATTACAGGCGTGAGCCACCAGCACCCAGCTGTATCTCCTTTTCTAATGTGGTTCCCCAGAGCAATAGGCAAGGTTTCTGAGGCTTAAAAGAAACCTTGCTACAACTTAACACCATCAGCAAGCATATTCATCCACAAAATGGGTAAGGAACAGCAAGGACATAGCTATTCTGCAAGGCAAAAAGTTGCTGCTCTAGGTGGCTCCCTGACACACCAGCCTGGCACACAAACACCACGGCCCTGGTGGGCAAGATCTAGGAGAGAAGGAAGGTGGCCCTGCAGTCATATCTGATTTAGGAGCTGACCTACATACCCAGCCAGCTTTAAGTCCTTTCAGAAAATAGGGTGTGAGGCTGGGGGACCCTGCCCAGCTCCCAGTCTCCTCTGGACCATTCTCAACCACAGCAACAGACATTTTTGGACCAGATGATTCTTTCATCTGAGCCCAGCAGGATGCTCCACAGCAACCCTAGCCTCTCTACAAATCCAGCAGCATTCCAAATTGTGACCACCACAATGTTTCCAAATACTGCTGAGCTTCGTGGGAGATAGGCGATCACAGGAAACCCCTGCTGTAGTCTTGCTCTAAGCCCCCGAGGCTGCTTCACTGAGGAAGTAAAGGAAGGGTCTCAGGTTCTAGGTCAGGCACTTTCACTCATTATCTCCCTCCAAAAACTCTTTATGACAAGGACTTCTTCCTCCATTTTAGAATCTCTCAGAAGGGCATTTACCTGCCCAAGGCTGAAAAGCTAAGTTGTCCAGCTGACCTCAAACCTGAACTCTTTCTACCACCCTTTCTGTTGCTCCGTTCCAGACTCAAAGTGTGCCCAGGACATTTGCTTTGGATCTGATGAGGCCAGTGTGGCTGTGCTCCATGTGACTGAGGACACTGAGATTGGGAAGGGTATGTGACCCGTGCAAAGTCACACAGCTAGTGCAAGGAAAGGTTGGTCTGTGAGGACGGATAGCCCATGAGCTTCCTTCTTCATCTGGATGAACTACCAACATGACATACTTCTCAGCATAGGCCTAAGACAGGCTCCAGTCCCAACCTCCCTTCCCTCAACTCCTCTACTCTCCTAAGACTCTTAAAGGTTCTACAGTGAAATGCAATGCTCTGATACAAGATCAACATTCAACACCTATTAGAGACACAAACTACAGTTCCATCCTCCTGCCTACCTGGGTCCCACATCTGCCTGGATTTCAGTCCTCACCTGTTAACTTCCCTTTTCCCAATCCAAGAGGTGCACTCCCTGTGCTAACAAGGTTTGTGATGCCAAGAGGAAGAAACTACCATCCCTTCAGCACGCTGCACTGCCTCAAGGGACCAGTGACTGGCTGGGGGCTTGTGGAGATGTGACCTTCAAGTCCCAGCAGCAGCACAACAAAAGGCAGCAGCTGACCGTCCTCGGCCTCTTCTTTGGGAACTAACAGTTCTAGGCTAAAGACCTGACCTCGGAGAGCCAGCTCAGCACTGAATGCCCCAGAGCCAGGTATGCACCAAACTAGAAAAACGAACCTTCCTTTCAGGGAGCCTTTCTCATGACCCCTTCTCATGGTAAGTGGAAATCTGGATGGGGCAGGAAATACAAGTGTGAACCTCCACCTTTGAAAACGGCATTCCAGTAGTCTGAAGGCTTTTGTTTTAAAGGCATATTGAAAGAACAGGGCAGGTCTCCTCCCAAAAGCAGTGGGCCTGATTTCCCGAGCTGAGTCAACCCATTAAACACCCAGAACCTGATTTATATACAGCAGGAGCCTCCAACCCTGCCCTGCTGAGTGCGGGGGAGGGGTACACACTTCCTGTCACACCATTTGAATAAAGAAAAAGTCTTCCTGTGAGAGTAAGGCAGTTTCCTTTGCTCAAACTGCTAGGGGACCACAGGCGCTGGGGACAATCACCTCTATTTTTATTCTTCTGTTCTACATGTCTATGTTCTGTGGCCACAGGAACAGTCATTTCCAGTCGTGGGGCTCTACTTTTATACTTCACTTCACATTCAAAGGCTTTTCTTAGCTCTAAACGACCAGTTTTTCCCACTGCTTCCTGCACGAGGTTACTGAGGGAGCCACAACTCACTTGTTGAGTGTGGCTGATACCATCCGAATCCAAGGTGCACAGAGAAAGGGAATGGGTGAGGAAAGGTGGTATTAGCTGACTCTGGAGTCATCACTGCTCAAGTTCAGATCTCACGCTGCCCTTCACCAGCACTTCCCACCCTTTCTTCCCCGCAGCCAGCCACCTATTTTTCAAGTTCGGCTGTAATGGGGCCCAAGAAAGCCAGTGGGGCGGCCCAGGAGGACTGTGCGCCCTCACCTCCACCCCCGGCCACCCTCGCCGCTCAATGACTCCGCCGCAGCTCACCTCGGCCCCTCCCGAGAGCCACCCGGTGATGGCCCTACGTTCCGCACGGAGGGAGTCGGACGTGAGGGGGAGGTGAGAGGCCTGCTGGGTCGCCCGCGGAGCCGGCGCCCCGGGGTCCGGACCTAGGGAGACCGCATCCCTGGGGAGGAAGACGCCGGGAGCCCCGGACTGAGAGGACAAAGACCGGGAAGCACCGGGTCGGAAGGCGGCTGGGCCACCGGCCCGCGGGGAAAGAGGACGCCGGGCCACAGGGAGCGAGGTGGGGAGGAAAGGCCCGGGCGAGTCCCGGGCCGAAGGGGAGGCGAGGGCCGGGCGCGCGCCGGGAAGGATATTGCCGCAGGAGTCCGTCCACCTCGCCGGGGTCCGGGCCCGGCTCGCCCGCCGCCGCCGCCGCCGCCTCCTCCTGCTCGTCCACGAATTTGTTCTCGTCAAACTCATCGATGTCCACTCGGCGGAAGCGCGAGGACAGCGTGTTCCGGGCCATGGCGGGAGCTCGGCGCCCGCTCAGCCGGCTGCGCTCAGCCGGCTCCGCTCCGCGCTCGACCTCCGCTCCGTTCGGTTCAGCACCGGCCCCGGCTCCGGCTCCGGCTCCGGCTCGGGGGCGGGAAGCGGCGACCCGGCACCTCCTCCGCGCGCAGCCGCCGACGCCCACCCACTTCCGCTTCACGCCGGAACCGGAAGCCGAGGGCGGGTCCAGGAGGGGCGGGCCCGGAGACCTGGAGAGTTGGGGTGGTATCCTCTCTGCCAGCGCGTCTCGTCTCCTGCCGTCTCACGTCTTGCACCGTGGCGAGCTGAGCAGGCCTGCTCTAGTTGACCTCGTTCTCCAACTCCCTCCTGCCTCAGACGAGCCCCCAGTCGATAGCGCTGCTTGTGCCTGACCCAGACCGAGTAGACCCTGGGACCCCAAGAAAAGGCCATCCGTCTCTAGGAGGCCAGACAGGCTTCCCGAAGCACAAACCTTCGGACTGAGGTCTGAGAAGGTCTTCCAACGCCGTGCTGCGATGTGAGCGGGAGGCCTGAGCCCTGGAGCCTTGAACAGCACCACACTGCACAGAGCTTGACTGTGCCTTGCTCATAGAAGTGACCCTGTGGTTAAATAGCAGGCTCGAAAGACGTTTGAAGTGCTTCCAAGGAACGACAAAACGCTGAAAGCGTTTTAACTTGAAGGTGTGGAGACCTCTGAGGATGAGGGACGAGGAGAGGATGTTTGTGGCCACCATGCTGGCGTGAAGTTGGCCAAGCAAGGCCCTTGTGCTGAGCAGTCTCTGTGTGCGAGAGAGATCTTAGAAGAATTGCCAGATCAATTGGCGGAGAAGTTAGCCCATCGCCCAGGATGATTAGGATGCTGGTAAATAGTTTTAGGGACTTTGACCTTAGCTTTAGGCTAAAATGGGTCTTTTCAAATAGTCTGAGATTTCCATTACATTCCCATGTGATAATACTTTTTTCTTTTTTGGGGGCGGGGGTGGTCAGTCCTGGCGCTTGTACTCAGGGCCTGGGCACTGTCCCTGAGCTTCTTTTGCTCTAGGCTAGCACTCTACCACTTGAGCCACAGCTGGTTCTCAAGTTCAAGGTCAGTGTGGGCTACATAGTGAGACCTTGTTTCAACAAAGAAAAAAATCCTTATTATACTGTGTCTGGGTGACTTGAATGATGAGGAGAAAATCACCCAGTGTCTGATTTTCTTAGACACAAGGTAAGGGTAGTAACAGGAAAGCCCTGGTAATTCCAAGCAGAGCAGTAACATGATCTAAGTTCTGGCAAGTTTGAAAAGGGAATCTAGCAGCTATATTGGAAACAATCAGAGCTTATTTAGGAGGTGACAGACAGGATATCAAGCCAAGATTATGGCCAAAAAAAGGTGGGGGAGTATTCTGAAAGCAGAACCCACAAGATTTGCTGATAGGTTAGATGTGGCGTGTAAGAGAAATGGGGGTCACAGATGACAAAGACATTCAGTTGGCCTTGTAGCTCAATGATAGAGTGTTTGCCTAGCATGCTGGAGGCCTGGGTTCAATCCCACCACCACAAAAATAATAATTGGCTGGGCAATGATGGCTCATGCCTGCTCAGGAGGTTGAGATTTGAGGATCATGGTTCAAAACCAGCCCAGGCAGGAAAGTCCATGATACTCTTATCTCCACTTAACAAGTAAAAAGCCAGAAGTAGAGCTGTGGCTCAAGTGGTAGAGTGTTATCCTTGAACAACAAAAAAAGAAAGTATAGTGTCCAAGCCCTGAGTTCAAGGCCCAGGACCAGCATAAATAAAAAGTCTACTAGAACTGGAAAGTAGATAGCAAAGACCCTGTATACTGTTAGCCTTCTATTTAAAACTAATCCATGTAAAAAATGTTCTTTGTTCTTTTCCCCATGACCCTTCACCTCCTGAAATCCTGCCTCCCTGTGGCTTGGAATAAGGCTCATGAATCCATGCAACAAGTATCCACCAGCTGGCCTGGAGACCACAATTAGGTGTTTCTCCTGCCAGGAAATCTCCAGGTTGGCTGTGGAGACAGGCACCATAAACACATCATTTAATTCAGATGTCTGGGGCTCAGAGAGCTCAGGACACAAGAGGAAGTTGCTTCCCTTAGGAGAAGTAGTCTCCCTGGAGGTGACACATGACAGCAGCAAGACAACCTAGAGCTCTAAGAGGTGACATGTTGGTGGCAATGGAGTGACACCAGAATACTGGTTAACATGTACTAGTTGGATGATAGTGAAACTGCCCAAACAGTAAAGCGTAAACACCTTCTGGGCTTTGATTAATTGAAGTTTTTGTTCCACTCTCTGGACTGGCATTAGGTCCTGAGTGGCACAGGTGGGGACACTGAGACCAGAGGTGGTAGCAGCTTCCTAGAGATGGCAAGTGTACTATAGCTCAATTTTGGCCATTCAGCCTTTTTTTTTCATTCATTTGGGCAGCTGAATCTGTGCTACTCTGAGTTAGAAATAGGTGTACTGGGGAATTGGAAGGATGAGGGGTGGCACTTTATTATGCATCACTCTTGGACTGAGAGCTTTATCTGTATCTTCTCTAATCCTCTTAAGTATATCATTTTGCTAATGAGAAAACATTTGCTAATGAGAAAACTGACTCGAGAGGGAGAGGGATTTGCCAAGAGTATCGAGTATTACGTGGTAACAGCTAGAATTTGAATCCCCGTGGTTTTGCTAAAATACATATCACCAATGGCATACATTTGTAATCCTAGCTTCTTGGGAGGCTGAGGTCAGGAGAACGGCAATTTGGGTGGAAGGGGTGTGGTAGGACCCCTGCTCAACCAATAGCATATTCTAGCTAGTGGGAGCTGAGATGAGGAAGACTGAATTCCCAAGTCAGACTGGACAAAGGAATCCCTGAAACCATCCCAACAGGAAATACATGGTGTGGTGGCATGGCCGGCTCATTCTAGGATTATGGTCTGCACCAGAAGTGAATCCCTTGTTCTAAAATAACCAGCTCGGGGCTGGGAAGGTGACTCAGTGGTAGAGTGCTTGCCTCTCATGCATGAGGCCCTGGATTCTACTCCTCAGCACCACACAAACAGAAAAGGCCAGAAGTGGCACTGTGGCTCAAGTGGTAGAGCACTAGCCTTGAGCTGAAGAGCTCAGGAAAAGCACCCAAGCTTAGAGTTGAAGCCCCACGACCGAACAAACAAACAAAAAACCAGCTCATAAAAGGGCAGAAGGTTCGGCTTACCCTAGAGTGTCAGTTTAGCAATTGTGAGGCCCAGATCAATCCCAAGTAGCACCAAAAAAGAAGTCTAGGCCAAGCTGCCTCCACCAGAAAATTCTGGAATCCAAACACCGTCCTACCCCAAACCTTCTTTCCTATGGAGTGTGGTGGTTTACCCAGTAATCCCAGCACAGGAGCAGCTGAGGCAGGAGGATCGCGTGTTGGAAGCCAGCACCACCTGTCTAAAATCAAAAAGCCCTCCCACTCATACCCCTAGCTCCAGCATCTAGCTCAGAGACGGGCTGCGTAATCTGCTAAGCTGCCCGAATGAATGAAATCAACAGACGACTGAATAGTCAAATTCAAGCCCTTACTACTCCATTTCCGACTACTAGCTGCTCACTCCAGGACTCAATTTCCCTAAGGTGCTGTCTCGGGCACAAAGGCTAAGCTGTGAAATGCTGGCGTTAGAGACGGGGCGGGACGAACCGCGCTCTCCGGAAGGAAGAGGGCGGGACCAGAATCCCCAGGGGCGACGCCATTGGTTACGTACACCGCCACCCGGCAGTAGTTGCGGAGCTCACGCCCGCCTCTTCCTCTTTCCCTCCGACGAGGCGACGGCCGTGGCAGCTTCTGGCAGTTATGGTGAGGGCAAAGGGATCCGGCGCCATCCGAGGGCCGCTGGGTCACGGGAGTGGGTGGGGGCCGCGGGCTGAACATGGGGGGGTCTCATCTGCCTGTCTCATCGGTCTGTGAGGTGCAGCTGAGGACGGCCGGGCCCCGGGTTCGGGCCGCGGAGACGCGCGCGCCCGGCCCTTGAAGCTTCCCGTATGCTGAGTGGGGTGGCGGCCCTGCCAGGGAGCCGGCCGGGACTGCGCCGGCCGCGGCTGCCTGAGTACCAAGAGGTCTCGCGGGGTGACTGACACTCGGGCCTTTTCCGCGCAGGCTAAGATTAAAGCTCGGGATCTGCGCGGCAAAAAGAAAGAGGAGCTGCTGAAGCAGCTGGACGACCTGAAGGTGGAGCTGTCCCAGCTGCGCGTCGCCAAAGTGACTGGTGGCGCGGCGTCCAAACTCTCCAAAATGTAAGGGACCGGCGCGGAGCGGCACGCGTGCCTGGGGAGCGACTGTAGGTCTGACGGGCGTTCAGGTGCCTGCTTGCGCACCCATGGCACACGGGGGGCCCAGTTTCTCGGGTGCAAGTTCCACTTCTCTTTCTCGTGTTGTTTTTTTGTTTGTTTGTTTTTAAACAAGTACTTATGGCCTGGTACCTGCTCGAGGCTGGCACTCTGCCACATGAGCCATGCCTCTGCTTCCGGCTTTTTTGGGGGTAGGGACTAGTCCTGGGGTTGAACTCAGTGCCTGAGCACTGTCCCTGAGCTTCTTTTGCTCAAGATTAGCACTCTACCACTTGAGCCATAGCTCTACTTCCGGCTTTTTCTGTGTATGTGGTACTGAAGAATCGAACCCAGGGTTTTGTGCATGCTGTGCAAGCAGTCTACCACTCAGCCACATTCCCAGCCCCCACTTCCTGCTTTTTGATGGTTCATTGGAGATAAATCTTACAGACTTTACAACTCATACAGGCTTTGAACCGTAATCCTCAGATCTTAGCCTCCTGAGTGACTAGGACTGAGGGTATAGCTGGCATTTTCTCACTTTTATTTTTGTTGCTGGTGGTGGTGGTCGTGGGGCCTGAACTCTGGGCCTGGGCACCGTCCCTGAGCTCTTCAGCTCCAGGCTAGTGCTCTACCACTTGAGCTACCTCACCACTTCTGGCTTTTTCTGCTTATGTGGTGCTGAGGAATCAAACCCAGGGCCTCATGTATGCAAGGCAAGCCCTCTACCACTGAGCCTCCTTCCCACTCCCATTTTCTCACTTTTTTTTTTTTTTTTTTTTTTGCCGATCATGGGGCCTGAACTCTGGGTCTGAGCTGTCCCTTAGCTCTTCAGCTCAAGGCTAGCTCTCTACCACTGGAGCCACAGCGCCACTTCCAGCTTTTTCTGTTTATGTGGTACTGAGGAATCGAACCCAGGGCCTCATGCTTGCAAGGCAAGCGCTCTACCGCTGAGCCACCTTTCCAGCCCCCATTTTCTCACTTTTTAAAAACAAAGCAAACTTCATATTCACTGGACTGAGTAGGTGTGATCAGACTGGCCCCAGTTGGCCTGGATTACAAATTTACATACCCTCCCCCCCCCCCCCTTCAGATTGGCTTGGGTTAGTCTTCAGGTCTTTGAGACTAACCGTGGGGTTCATTGGAAAGTTGCACAGGACACCTACTAGCATGCTTGTTTTCACTTCTGGCCTCACCTCTGGAACCCTTTCTTCCTGGGTGAATATGGATAACAGGAATGCTCTGCCCCATCATTGCTAGCTCTGAAGGACCAACCTCAGGGAACATTGTGTTTCTACCCATCCTCACTGACGTCTCTGTTTTGTAGCCGAGTTGTCCGTAAATCCATCGCCCGTGTACTCACCGTCATTAACCAGACTCAGAAAGAAAACCTCAGGAAATTCTACAAGGTGAGGGAACTGTGGGTGTTGGCTTCTGAAAGCAAATTCTAGTCCTCTTAACAAGCAATCCTGCACTGGAATTTTGCCTGCCAGGAGAGATTGCATGTGCATGTGTATTTGTACTGGGAATTGGATGCTGTCCCAGGGCTTTTTGGTAGTTGATTGGAGATAAGAAGCTGCCTAGGCTGGCTTTGAACCACAGTCCTCAGATTATAGCCGTGAGTTGTCAGTGCATAGCAACACTTGTGTTTTATTTATTTTTTGTCCTGGGGCTTGAACTCCTGACCTGGGCGCTGCCCCTCAGTATTTCAGCTCAAGGCGAGCACTTACCACTTGAGCCCCAGCTTCACTTCCAGTTTTCTGGTGGTTAATTGGAGAAAGAGTCTCATGGACTTTCCTGCCCAGGCTGGCTTTGAACTGCCTCAGATCTCAGCCTCCTGAGTAGCTAGTATTACAGGTGTGAGCCAGTGATCCCTGGCTAAGACTTGTCTTTAAATCCAGCTTTTCTGGGTGAATTTGGAGTGGTTCTGTGTTGTCTTGGGGTGCTGAAGATCAGATCCCAGGCCTTGTACATACTAGATGAGCACTTTACCATGGAACTGTTTTGCTAAATATGTGTCGTTCTCACTTTTCAGACGAAATATGCCTAAAGGTTTAGAAATGAGGTTTTCTAGATCACCTATAGTCACCACAGAGTTGGCTGGGTGTTCTGGGAGATTTCCCTAGGCATCTGGACTCCTCAGCCTGGAATTTTGGCAAGCACTTTGTGATCTTGCTCTTTATGTCTGTGCTGTCAAGATTCCAACAGCAGCAGGAGACTGTTCACACGCATTTTGAACACTTGCTTTACTGGTAGGAATTGAATCACATGGCTGAAACTTGAGTAGAGCTTGTGGCACAGGTAGAAGACACCCCCAGCCCAGGATAGTTGGAGAGGGAACCAAAGGCCTTTTCTTTCTGTTGATTATCCGGGATAATCTCCTTTAATTGAAGTAATGAGGGGCTTTGATTACTTCTGCAGACTACCTAAATTGGTGTTGGTTGGGCCTACCAAAGCTATAATGTGGCTAGGCTGCTGCCACCTACAATGTGTACGTACATTCATGTAAGAGAACACATCTAGGAGCTTTCCTTAGGCTCTGAGGGAACCATCAGAGACAGCGTGGCAGTCAAGGAGGTGGGACTTTCCATAGTGAAAGTGTCTTACGTCACACCAAAACCCTGCCCGTGTGTGCCCGTTTCACGCTAAAGGTGGCCATGGTGACTGAGGAACTAAAGTTAATTTGGATGGAGCAAAAACGCAGGGCCTCGCGTGTGCTAGGCAAGTACTCTACCACTGAGCTCTGTCAACCCAGGAAGAACTGGGGTGTCAGTAAAAATCCTCCATGAAGGTTTGTGTGCCTCGTGGCTGCTCTGTTTGGACAGCAGTGTTCTAGGTGTGTTAGGCTTGCCCTCACCCTACACTCGCTGCTCTCACTTGTGCTCTGCTCTGCTCTGTAGCTGTAGCCAGGGTACTTGCTGTAGGTGGCTCCCTCTCCCTGCTCCAGTCCTGGTTCTCTGTTCAGTCTTAATTAAGTCTGATTTCATTATAGCACCGGCACCCAGAACAAGGCCTTGTGCTTGGAGGCGGGAGTGGGGTGGACAAAGATATGTGAGACTATTAGGTCAGGGCTCAGTGCCTGTGTCTGCAAGGGCTTGTTTGCACCTTCCTCTGCTCTCCTGTATAGCCTTGTGAAGGAGTATTCCAGAACAAGTGAGGGAGCATGGAGCCCTTTGACCTCCTGGCCCTGGTTGGGGGCACCCTGCTGAGTACTCAATGTTACATACACCTCACAGCAGTTCAGCCTCCCGGCCCCCTGTGCACTCAAGCATCCTGACCCTATTTTGGTGCTCAGATTCCTTCATTCTTCTGTCTATACCACAGGGCAAGAAGTACAAGCCCCTGGACCTGCGGCCTAAGAAGACTCGAGCACTGCGCCGGCGGCTCACCAAGCATGAGGAGAAGCTGAAGACCAAGAAGCAGCAGCGGAAAGAGCGGCTGTACCCTCTGCGCAAGTATGCCGTCAAGGCCTGAGAACGACGCCACAACAATAAAATGAAAACCTGGCAGGTGTTCCTCTGTGCTTGCTGAATGGCAGGGTGTGGGGTGGGCTCCTGCCATTGGCCATGGGGGTCTCATTGTATTCAGTGTCCTTGAGCCTATGGTACAGAACTATCCTGCTGGTGTGCTCTTGGCAGGACTGGGTGACTTAAGCAGTGGACTTGTCATATGTTAGCAGCAGTTCCAGACACAAAGAGTTTCCCATCTGGGGTGAAGACACAGGAATGGGCCACGTCCAGGGATCCTTGCTAGAAGCAGTATCAAGCTCTGAGTTTTCAATTCCTACTTGCCCGCCAGGTCCCTTGTAGGGTCAGAGTTTTGCTGGTCCCTCGGGTGCTATAAACACAGCCTTACCTTCAGGCTCTCAAGGAGCTTTCCAGTCTTGAGGTCCCAGACTTTTACCTGGAAATAAAAATGAAAACGCCCACACCTGTCTACTTAGGCTGAGATCTGGAGGATTGTGGTTTAAAGTCATCCCTGACAAGCTAGGAAAAGCACAGCTGGGCTGGGCACTGGTGGCTCACGCCTGTAATCCTAACTACTCAGGAGGCTGAGATCTGAAGATCATGGTGGTTCAAAGCCAGCCCAGGCAGGAAAGTCGGTGAGGTGCTGTGGCTCAAGTGGTAGAGCCTTGAACTGAAGAGCTCAGGGGCAGTACCCAGGCCCAGACTTCAAGATCCACAACTTAGAAAGCCAGAAAGTGGCTGTGGCCCAAGTGGTAGAGTGCTAGCCTTGGCACAAAGAAGTTCAGGGACAGCGCCCAGGCCTTGAGCTCAAGCCCCAGGATGGTGGCAGGTGGGGCACTGGGGGGTGGAGCTGGAGGCACATGACATGGTTGAGGGAGAACGGCACATGGGGTTTGAGCCCTGAAATAGCGTTGTACCTGCAGAGCCACTGGTTGGGCCTAGTGTGTCTTAAGTGCCAGCCAATGGGCAGTACTTTGGTCTTGTCCACTTCTAGTTAGGACAGGTTAGGTGTGTGAACATGTGGAGAAGGTGCTTGGTGTGAGGAAGGGCTGGGGCAGGCCTGATTGCCTTACCGTGCGGGAGTAGCCAGCACTGGCCAGCTGCAGCTGATCAGGAGAGAAGGCCAAGCTCTTCACCCAGGTGGAGTGGCCCTTGAGGTGGAGGAGCAGGCTGTTAGTTTCAGGCTTCCAGATGCAGATAGTCTTGTCCCAGGAGCCAGATGCCTGTACAGACAGTCAAGGCTGGATGCTAGGCTCCCAAATGGGCTGCGTCCTGTTAAAAGTTGCAGGGCCAGCCAGGAAGCTTACCAGGAGGCCAGAGGCCGAGTAGCATAAGCAGCTGACATTGCCACGGTGACCTTCTAGCTCCTTGTGAAAAAAGGTTGGGGTTCCCACCCGCAGGTCCCAGATGCAGACACTGGAGTCCCAGGAGCCAGTGGCCTGTTGGTGGGCAGTGACCATGAGTGAGGGGCTTCCCTGGGGCCACAGGGCAGGGTCGGTGCAATTAGGCTCACCAGGCAGTCAGCACTGGGGGAGAAGTCACTGCTCTGGATGCAGTCCTGGTGCGTAGGTAAGAGGCGCAGTGTGCAGCCAGACTGAAAATCGGAAGCAGTGGGAGGCAGTTGTGGGGCCTGTAATCAGGTCAGGCCCTGTCTTTCCAGCATGCTGCCCAACCCAGAGCTGCTCCACAGCTGGATACAAAAGTAGAGAAGGGGACTAGGAAGGTGGCTCAGTGGTAGAGCGCTTGCCTTGCATGCATGAAGCCCTGGGTTCGATTCCTCCACACCACATAAGCAAAAAAAACCTGAAGTGGCGCTGTGACTCAAGTGGTAGAGCATTAGCCTTGAGCTGAAGAGCTGAGGGACAGCACCCAGGCCCAGAGTTCAGGCCCCATGACCAGACCCAAAACAAAAAAAGTTGGGTAGGTGGTAGAGTGCTTGCTTTGCATGCATGAGGCCCTGGGTTGGATTCTTCAGCACCACATAATCAAAAAGCCAGAAGTGGCACTATGGCTCAAGTGGTAGAGTGCGAGCTGAAGAGAGGAGGGACAGCACTTGGGCCCCATGATAAAAGTAGAGAGGGATTCTGGCTGGAACCCTGTGCAAGAGCCCAGTGTGGGGAGGCCTAGAGGTAGATGTGAGTCTGGGGAGTGGGTATGAGCCTTGGGGGACCACTGCACGAGAGGTGTGGAAGTGGACAAAGCCCTCTGCCAGGCCTCTGCTCTCCACATACCTGCACCTCAGAGAGCATCACCCGCTTGTCCCAGCCACCCGATGCCAGCAGCCTTGAGTCAGGGCTGAAGCTCACAGTTTCCACGCTCCGCTGGTGACCTGCAGACCCGGCCCAGGGCAGGCATGTGTCACAGAACATGCTAAGTCCACAAAGGAACCCTGTCCTGGCTGGGGCTTCCAGGCCTGCATTGTCCACTCACCTCGCAGCACCTGCACACACTTGGCGCTGGCCACATCCCACAGGCGGATGGTGCAGTCTCTGGAGGAGCTGGCAAAGAGATGGCCATCCGGGGAGAAGCGGCAGAACTTCACTGGGCCTGGAGCAGGGAAACAACTGCCCTCCCCTCCTGTGCTTGAGCCCACCCCTAGCCCATCCCTGTAGCACATCACCCTCCACCCCTCCCAAAAGCAGACGAACCCCCAATCCAATTTGCCCAAATCAAATGCAGGCAGTTCTTTCCAGAAGCAACTTAGTAGCCTAGCCTGAGTTTACTGCTTTCGGGCTCCTCAGCCTGGACCTGGCCTCTCCACAGCGTGCCTTGGTTGTCCTGCACTCAATCTTCCCTGGGGCTTTTTGTACCATTCCTCTAGGTATTAAACTTCAGGTTTGAGTGCCATCCCTGAAGTTTTTGCTCAAGGCTAGTACTCGACCACTTGAGCCACAGCTCTACTCCCCACCTTCTTGGTGTTTAATTGGAGACAGGAATCTGGTTTTGAACTATGACCCCCAGAATGGAAGGAAGGGGAACAAGCTGTTGAAAGGCATAGTTTTTCTGTGGGTTTGTTTTTTTTTGGGGGGGGGGTGTTGGTTTTATAGGTTGTGGGGTTTGAACTCAGGGCCTGAGCACTGTCCTTGAGCTCTTTTTGCTCAAGACCAGCGCTCTACCACTTCAGCCACAGTACTACTTCTGGTTTTCTGGTGGTTAATTGGAGATAAGGTCCAGGAATGTGGCTTAGCATGCATGACGTCCTGGGTTCCATTACTCAGTACCCAAAGAAAGACACTGGCTCAAGTAGTAAGAGTGCTAGCCTTGGGCAAAAGAAGCTCAGGGACAATGCCCAGGCCCTAGTTCAAGCCCCAGGACTGACAAAAGTCTCAGACTCCTGCCCAGGCTAAATCTCAGCCTCCTGAGTAGCTAGGATTACAGGCACAAGCCCCAGTTCCTGGCTAGTTTGTTTTTCAAGACAAAGAGTTATGGCATGAACATGAATCGTAGTGTGAGTTGCACTTACCACCATATGGAACTACATGTTTAAGCCAGTTAATGTGGTAAAAGTTGTTCATACTCTAGGTCTAGTAGGGGAATTCCCAGCCCTGCCCCTGTCTTGCTCTATGCCCTGCCTCCATATAAGAAGCCAATGAATTGAGCTCTGCAGTGTTAGCGCAGGCCCTTTGGCCTCCTCCTGGTCACACTGCAGAGCCCCACCTGTGTGGTCAGCCATCTTCCACAACAGCCTCCTGCTCTTGGTCTCCCAGCCATAGACACAGCCATCCTCTGAGGCTGTGAGCAGTATCCGGTGGTCAGGGGAGAAGGCAGAGCAGTTAACCTGGAAGCATAGCACAAAAGTGGCCCCATTCTGAGGCAGGAGACACCTGTCCCCTCTGCTGTCAGATACTCCTGTGAAGGCCCTACACTGCCCAGGAGTCAGGTGGGAGCTTGGACTCCAAGCCCACTTACCCTCCATAACCTTGTAAACTTGAGCCTGGAGCTGGAACCCAGAAGCGCCTCCACCCATTCAAGAGCTGAAGCTGAATGGATACAAGCCCAAAACCTGCTCTGGCCCCAGTCTATCATTTTTGGAGCCAGAGCCCAAGAGCACTGAAGGTGAAGGCCTTGTAAGAACCAGAGTCCAGCAAGGCATCATTGGCTCTCGCCAGCAATCTGAGCTACTCAGGAGCCTGAGATCTGGTCATCACGGTTCTAAGCAAGTCAGGGCAGGAAAGTCAGACTTTTATCTCCAGTTAACCACCAGGAAACCAGAAGTGGACATGTTCAAGTGGTAAAGTGCTAACCTTGAGTGAAAAAGCTTAGGGACAGCACCCAGGCCCTGAATTCAAGCCCCAGGACTGGCAACAAAAAATAAGCTGGTTGTCAGTGGCTCACACCTGTAATCCTAGCTACTCAGGAGGCTGAGATCTGAGGATCGAGGTTCAAAGCCAACCCAGGCAGGAAAGGCCCTGAAACTCTTATCTCCAATAAACCAACAGAAAACTGGAAGTGGCGCTGTGGCTCAAGTGATAGAGCGCTGGCCTTGAGCTGAAGAGCTGAGGGACAGCGCCCGGCCCAGAGTTCAAGCCCCATGACCGACAAAAAAGAAAATGATAAAAGAGCCCTTCTGGACACACACACTACATATACTACAGAGAGCCACAGGCCAGGAGTGCAGAGCCGGCAGGGCCCTCACCTCCCCTCGGTGATGCCCAAAGAACTTCACTCTCCCCACGGCCAGCATCCCTGAGGCCTGCTCTTCAGGGCCGCCCCGCCCGGCGGGCTCCATTGTAGGTGGTCGTTCGGCCCGCGGGCAGGGCCAGGCCTAGGACCTGGTGGTAACGCAAAGAGGAAACTGTGGTCGAGCCGTCGCCATGGCAACCAGGGCGGGGCGCGCAGCCGCAGTGGAAGCCAAGGGGGAGGATGACGGAGAGCGACGAATTTCAGCCTTCGGAAGGTGGAGTCGCAGCCGCCGGGCCGCGGGAGAAGACGGTGGTGCACCAGGAGGCCGCTAGGGGGCGCGCCTGGCCCACGCACCGCGCGGCGGGTCCCAGCCGCCGCCGCTCTAACCGCGCCCCCATCGGTGCCACCGGGAGCGCCGGCTTGGCCGCGCAGGACTCCAGAGTCGAGGGCCTGGTCCATGGCAGGTGCCCGAGGGGAGAGGGGAGGACAGTGCAGGGCATGGAAAGGTAGGTGCAGCCGCTGCTGTCCTGGTTGCAGGCCGCCAGCGCCGTCTGCACTGGCGGCAGGGCTGGCGGAGGCGGGGTGGGGTGGAGGGGGAGGGGGGGGGGGGAAGTTCAGGAAACCGAGACTAGGAGAAGCAGAGGGACCTGCCCTGTGTCTGGAGATGGACCCAGGGGTCAGCCCTTAGATACCGAGATCCTGACACACATGTTGAGGCCCACTGAGGCCCCAGAAGGACCACTGCAGTTACCCAGCACCTCCGTGGTAGAGCTGAAGCCAGAAGCCAGCCAAGCCCCAGCACCACAGGACCAGTGTGGAACCCCCCCCACACACACATCCATCCACCCTCGGAGAATTCCAGGCCCCTGGGGCCAGGCAGGGCAGCTGGGCTTTGGGAGCTTCAAATTCAAGGGTTCCCAGTGGTGACTCACGCCCCTCCCCCTGTTTACCCCTTTGCCAGAAACTTCTCACGAGATCACTTGTATTTCTGCTCTATTTTAGGCCCTAGACAGTCAGGCGGGCAAGTGGGGGCGACAATGGCGGCTTTGAGGCGGCCCCACCCCCAAGGCACTCCCAGAGGGCCTAAGTCACTCAGTTGCCTCCTCAGAAATCAGTGTGAGCTGGGACTAGAAGGCTGTTCCCCCGACATGGCTCCCAGCAAAGCTCTCCCAGAACAAGAGCCTCAGACCGCTTGCTCAGGCACTACCCCCACCCCAAGCCCCATCTCTGGACATGTTCCTGTACCTGGTTGAACTGACAAGGACAAGCAAGCCTTTGACCTTGAATAAGGACAAAGCTATACTCTGGGAGGTGCTTTCCCAGCCCCAGAGCCCTCCTAGTAGACCTTGTCCCTCAGGCCTATGACACCCCTCCAATCCCATAGAGCGGTGGCTCTGAAGTCTGTATGTGGAACCAGCTGCTATGAGTACTAGGACACACAGGACACTGAAAGTCTCATAGACTTTCCTGACTGGGCTGGCTTCAAAATATGATCCTCAGATCTCAGCCTCCTGAGTAGCTAGGATTACATTACAGAGTAAGCCACAGGAGCCTGGCTATGAGACTCTTATCTTTATTAAACTACCCCAAACTCCAGAAATGGAGTTGCAGCTCCAAGTGGTAGAGCTCTAGCTTTGAGGAAAAGAAGCTCAGAAACAGTGCCCAGGCCCTGAGTTCATACTTCAGGACAAGAGGGGTGGGGGGGGGGGAGGGGGGAAGGAAGGAAGGAAGGGAAAGGAAGAAAAGAATGAAAGACTTTCCTTTGTTACTTCAGCTTAAAATCACAAACAAGCACCAGTGGCTCATACCTATGATCTTGGCTACTTGGAGGCTGAGATCTGAGGATCGTGGTTCAAAGCCAGCATGAGCAGGAAAGTGAGTGGGATTCTTCTCTCCAATTAACCAGCCAAAAAAGCTATATGTAGAGGTGTGGCTCAAGTGGTAGAGTACTTGCCTTGAGTGAAAAAGCTCAAGACAGTGCTCAGGCCCTGAGTACTGAGTTCAAACTCCAGTACTCATATAAAACAAAACAAAACAGCAACAACAAAATAGACACAAAGCTCCCGACTGAGCCCTGTGCCAGTGGCCTATGCCTGTAATTCATAACTACTTAGGAGACCGAGATCTGAGGTTCATGGTTCAAAGCTAGCCCAGGCGAGCAAGTCTATAAGACTCTTTTTTTTTTGGGTCTGGTCGTGGGGCCTGAACTCTGAGCCTAGGCACTGTCCCTCAGCTCTTCAGCTCAAGGCTAGCGCTCTACCACTTGAGCCACAGCGCCACTTCTGGCTTTTTTCTTTTTGCTTATGTGGTGCTGAGGAATCGAACCCAGGGCCTTGAGCATGCAAGGCAAGTGCTCTACCACTGAACCACCTTCCCAGCCCCTATAAGACTCTTTTCTCCATTTAACCACCAGAAAACTAGAAATGGTGCTGTAAGTCAAAGTGGTACGGTGCTAGCCTTGAGAGAAAAAGCTCAGGGACAGCACTCAGGCCCTGAGTTCAAGCCCTAACACACACACACACACACACACACACACACACACACACGGGTCTCAACTGCTTCCCCAAGTTCATCAAAGGACTCCACACCCCAGAATACTTGTGATGTAGACACATCAGGGGGACTCTGTGCCCATCAGAGGGAGAAGGTGCCAGTCCTAAGTATGGGCAGGGGCCACGCCCACCAGGTGTCTCTCTGGGACACCTGATGAGGTGCTAAGTTTGGTGGGAACAGAGGGATCTCCCTGGTTCAGGCCCTGCCCAAGAGACTGGGAAACCCAACCACTCCATCCTTTAGTCAGGCTGTCCTGGTATTGCCAGGCCCCATACCAAACTGGCTTTTCACACGTCTTCTCATCTCCAAAGGCATGCCCATAGGCCTGGACCAGCACATACATCCCATAGAGCTCACCGCTCTCAGCAAGACAGCCACAGACAGCCACAGAGGCTCTTAGAGACGTCAAGGCATACAAAAGAGAACTCTTCATTTCTTAAGCCTCTGTGCACATGGGATCAATGTCCAAAGACAAGCAAGTCTTTGGGAAAGTGCTACAAATCCCTAAAGTGCTGAACTCTAGGGGAGGAGGAGAGACAGCCAGGGCAAGACACATAGGACCCTGAAAAGTGCCAACTCTGGGGACGTGGGATGTGCCATTTGAGCACCAGTGTGTCATTGTTTGTGAAGAGCTCCCTGGCTATCTGGCCCACAACTTGTCCCACAAGTCCTAAGCAGTGTTTGGAGCATCGTGTGTGGTCTGGGAGGTTACATAATGCCAGGCCTGGGCAGTGTTTTCTGACCAGGGCCCCAGGAAGCAGGAAATGCTGTTTTATGGCAAAACAGGAAGAAGAAGGTATGGAAGGCCAGTGCCCTGGCTCCTGCCAGCTCCCAGCTCCAGGCTCTGAGGTCTCTCGGGTTCCCTCCAGGGAACTGGCTTACAGTAAGCCAGGCTTATTCAGACAGAATTCCTCGTGCAGAGTGAGCTAGGTAAGTCTGGGGCCCTTGCCACCTAGCTTCATTGTCACTGGGAGATGATCCCTAAAACTATGTCTTTGGGGCCACTTTTCCCTTTTCCGGAGCCCCTCTAGTCATTTGTAAGAGGGATCCAACTCCCTGAAGCCACATGTGTTGGAATACACTCTGATTTGTCCTTGTCCTTTCTGAAGTATGGGGACAGAAACAAGCAACATCCTCACATGGCCTGGCTAGGCCCAAGTTGGAGGCCATCATCCTCTCTAGTTTTCTAGACGTTCTGTCTCTTGTCATTCAGCATTCAGCACTGGAGGCCAAACAGCCTCAAGTTTCCACAGCTCTATTCACTGCCCATGTGGGAAGTGCTTTTTCCCATGAGCGACTGGCCGGCCGGCCACCCTGGCTGCTGCTTGCACCACAGATTCTTCAGGAGCACCCTCAAGACCAACCACGACGCAACCAAATGTCATCGCCTTGGCTCCAGCTGCCTAGCGAGTCTTGAAAGCATTGTTAGGAGTCCTACTTCTACCACACAAAGCATTAATTCTACCGCTATAACAGCTGCAAAGTTATAAGCTGGACTTCTGTGTTCTAAATCCAAACTGGGAGAACAATGATCCATGGGGTAGGAAGAGAGAGAGAGAGAGAGAGGGAGGGAGGGAGGGAGGGAGGGAGGGAGGGAGGGAGGGAGGGAGGGAGGGAAAAAGAGAGGGAGAGAGAAAGAGAGAGGAGGGGGGAAGAAGGAGGGAGGGGGGATGGATACCCTGTAGCCTATCACTAGAGACCTCTTCTATCCATAGACTAGCCCATAGGCCAAAGGGTAAGCAGGGGGCACATTCCCTTAGAAGAAAGCAGTGAATCTGTGTGTGTGTGTGTGTGTGTGTATGTACTAATACTGGGCTAATACTGATATGAATACTAAGACTCAGGGCCTAGGAACTGTCCCTGAACTTTGTCTGTTCAATCCTAATGTTCTGCTACCTGAGCCACAGCTCCACTTCCAGTTTTTGGTGGTTCATTAGAAAAAAGTTTCACATCACAGGTTTCTATCCCGGCTGGCTTTGAACTGTGATCCTGAAATCTCAGCCTCCTGAGAAGCTGAGATGACAGAGTGAGCCATCAGCATCCTATTTTTTTTTTATTGTCGACTGTGGGCCTTGAATTCAGGGCCTAGTCTCTGAGCTCTTTTGTTCAAGGCTAGTGCTGTATCACTTTGAGCCATAGTGCCACTTCTGGTTTTCTGGCAGTTAATTGGAGATAGGAGTCTCATGGAGGGATGGGTGGGAATGTGGCTTAGTGGTAGAGTCCTTGCCTAGCATGCATGAAGACCTGGGTTCAGTACCTCAGTACCACATAAATAGACAAAGCCAAAAGTAGTGCTGTGGCTCAAGTGGTAGAGTGCTAGCCTTGAACAAAAAGCAGCTCAGGACAGTGCCCAGGCCCTGAGTTTAAGCCCCAGGACTAGCAAAAAAAAAAAAGTCTCACAGACTTCCCTACCCATGATGACTTTGAACCACAATTCTTAGATCTCAGCCTCCTGATTAGCTGGGATTACAGGCATGAGCTACCAGTGCCTGGCTCCTATTATATTTTTCTTTTTTTCTTTTTATTTTTTATTGTCGTGGGGCCTAAATTCTG